ACCCATTGCGCTGTTTGAAAAGAGAAGGAAGTTTCCCGGTGACCTTGACCTGGTCTACAATGCTCTGCATATAATTGGTCATTCACTTCATGGCAGTGCGCAAATTGGCTGCCACATTTGCCCACAAAACTTACAATCATTTTCACTTTGCAAGTGTAAGGATTATTATTAATAATAACCGGATTTTAATGAGGGGATAGGAATGGATTGCGGCGCAAACAAGCAATTAAAACATTTTTGGCTTGTGCCTGATTTTTAGATCATTTGGTAATGGCTGCGTTGTTAGCACTCCGGAAAATGTGAGGACTTCAAGCCATTTCTCCCCCTCTCTTGTCGCACATTACTGTTGATTTAAAATGTTGTTGATCCACCTCGTTCGGCATTTGTTATTGCTGCTGTCAGGACAACACAGCGGTCATCCGAGCCTTTAATCAATTTTGTTTTCATCCTGAGGGATTACTTTGTTGCCTAGCAACTGTGGACTTCACCCTCACAAAAGCTCGCTGTGACAGGGGTGGTTTTGCATAATCCTTTGTTACCCACGGTTTGGGGAGGGCGAGCGGGAGGGAATCCAATGTTAATACAACGATATAGGAGTGATGCTGGGAGCTTGCATCTAGTAATCCAGATCAGAGCATTTGTTACATCTCTTTGACCCAAGCAGCCCGACACGGTAAAAAAAATAATATATTAATAATCCTTGCATTTGTATAACGCCCTGACCACGTCTTCGAGACCCAGAACTGTCTATCCAGCGCCTTGGAACGTCCTCCCGACGTGAAAGGCGCTCTATAAATGTAATTTTGTTGTTGTTGTCTGAAACATCTTAAAGCGCTTCACAGAATACACTGTATGTTTTGTGGGAGAAATGAAAATAACAAATAATAAAATAATTTGGTGGCTCGATCCAGACTGGTTGTGGGACGCTGCTGTGCACAATTGGCTGCCGCGTTTCGCCCACATAATATACGATCCATTCACTTTACAGTATATTCTGTGAAGCGCTTTGAGACGTCTCGAAGACATGATAAAGTGTTATATCAAATGCAAGGACTATGATTATTATTATTATTCTTGGTGGGGAGGGAAGGTAGTAGCGATAAAAGCGTGGTTTATAACTGGGGAGTCAATGCTTGCTTGCTTCTGTGCGGTAGCACTTGCTGCTGACACTCATTATCAGCTTTCAATTTATTTCCCTGAGCTTTCACCAACGTGTAAGCCAGCAAGGGCTGTGGTGCGTGGGTGTAGGCAGGCGCAGATTGCGTGATTACAGCTGGATTTGGGGCTCTGTCATCCACAGCCTTCAGTTAGTTAAACAGACAAAATTCTCAGGCTGCCAACCAGTGTTCTCTCTCGTTCAATGTCACAGCTGCAACTAACAAAACAACACATATATCTGTTGCATAATGAGCGCAGGTCCAGTGCACCAACTCTTCATCATTCAGTCTCCAAAAGCTAATGTCTAATGAACTCCTCGTCATTTAATAAGGATCTGCATTTAAGTAGCTATCTTTGGAAAAGTAAAGTTGGATCAGACGGAGAGCTTATTCACCAGCATTTTAGGTGAAAATTTATATTTGCTGCCCTGGAAATGCTGTACATTCTAATAGTCGCTGCTTTATCCGGCTGTCATGTTTCAGTTTCATGTTTTGTGTCTATGTTGCTCCTATTAATATAATAGCCATCTTTAAAATGTATGATCCATTTCCTGATTCGATTTTTATTTGTGTCGAGAGAGTTACTTGTAAAGTCAAATACCGCAGCTCCTTCAGACACACAAATCTTTCAAGTGGTGTTAATTTGTGGGGCTATATTCCTTAGTAATATTACTTGCATTTGACAAAACGTCTTTTTTTTCATTTTTCATTTTCATTTGTCATTTGACAAATGGTCACCCTGACCATTTCCCCCCTCCTCGCTCTCTCCCCTCCCCTGACCATTTCCCCCTGCTCGGGTCATGACCCAACTGTGCAGCGCCTTGGGACGTCCTCCTGACGTGAAAGGCGCTTTATAAATGGAATCTTGTTGTTGTTGTTGTTGTCTTGACGCCTCGAAGCCCTTCACCAGATTTACTGTTGGGGAAGGCAGCAGCCAGTTTGCACATATCACCGCCCTACAGTTAGCCATAACGTAAATGACCAATTTTATATGGGGGATTGTAGGCCAGGACACCAGGAGAAACTCACTTCGCTTTTCAGATTATGCCATGCAGAAAGGACCTCAGTTTAATGTCTCATCATCTAAAGGACGACACCTCTGACAATGTAATACACCCTCCAGTACTGCATTGGAGTCCTGGCGTAGGGCTTGAACCCTCGATCTTTGAGTCAGAGGGGAGTGAGTCACCCTGATGCAGTGTTAGGTTATATGCCTGGGTACTTATGCCTGGTATGGCAAAATCTGAAAAGTGAAGAAAGCTCCTAGAGTCTCATTGTATTAAAATGAGGTGGTTACATTGTCTTTAATCTTCACAAAGTGAAGACCTCATCACATTCAGCCTTCCCATATCCTCCTAAAAGCCCAAGCTTGCCATTGCCTCAACAGTACTTCTCAATCTATCTCATCATCTTATCTCTTTACCCTTGCTGGTGTCCTCTACACACACACAAGATAAAACCGCACCCGGAGTTTAACATTCATGAAAGGTCGTACATTGTGGTGCTAAAAATGACAAATATGATTATAGAACGAAGGATACATCGTTAAATAAGGCAAGCCTAGGAAAAGAAGAGGTTTTAATGGTTGACTTAACATGGAAGTTGGCACGGCTTCCCTTGGCAACAGTTGCTAGGGCAAATAACATTTTGGAATACGAGTCCGTAAAACATAAGAGCAAAGGAAAACAGGAAGAGGAGGCCATTGAGGCTGTTTCATCAGTTTATTAGATTTTGGCAAATCTTTTAATGCCGTTGCCTTTGTCCATCCCTTTAACACCTCTTTTCCCCAAGTCTCTGTCTATTTCTCTTAACATCCTTATTGATTCCACTTCTATAATAATAATAACATAATATAATAATAGTAATTCTATAACTGATAATCTCTCAAGAAAAAAGACACAATAATAAATTGGTCACTTCAATCCACAGCTGTTTGTGGGACGCTGTTGTGCGCAATTGGCTGCTGTGTTTTGCCCACAAATATACAGTCAATTCACTTTACAGTATATTCAATGAAGCGTTTTTAGACGTCTAGAAGACATGAAAAGCACTATATCAAATGCAAGGATTATTATTATATTATTATTATATTCTACAGCTTTCTATAGGGCCGTGTGTTCTCACACTCTCACAACCCACTCACTGTGTGAAGAAATTGCTCCTGACTTCAATTATAACTGTCTTCATTCTTATTTCAAGACCGTGCTCCCCCTTGTAATGGCTCCATCTACTGAGGGGAAGAGTCATCCACTGCCATACCCTGCCAATCCCTATCATTATTTTAAATACTCTATCTTAATCAAACCTACCCTTAACCTCCTATGATCTAAAATAAAAACAGAAGTCGCTGGTAACATGCAGCAGATCAAGCAGCATCTATGGAGAGAGGAAGAGGAAAGCGAGTTAAAAGGTTCAGGTCGATGACCAAAGGTCGTTGGGAACACTCAACAGGTCAGGCAGCATATATGTAAAATGAGTTAACGTTAATTCACTTTCCTCTCCCTGCCTATCCTGCTGAGTGTTCCCAACGACTTTTGTTTTTATTTCAGATTTCCAGAATCTGCAGTATTTTTCCTCTCTTTCTGTGATCTAGTCTGCTCAGCTTCCCTTCAGAGCTCAATCCCAATTCAGACCAAAAACAAGAGATGTACCATTCAGTTTTATATGCAGATAGGCTGTCCAGAGTGTCAGTCTAAAGTGACCCTTCAATGAAGTTCGACACGTAACTGAGTCAATTCCCAATTTGACGAGCAACAAATTTGTATTTGAGGCAAGAAATTTTTTATAAGAAAGTCTGAACCATATATGAATGAATCATGGAATCATAGAATTATACAGCACGGAAGGAGGCCATTCGGCCCATCGTGTCTGTGTCGGCTCTTCCAAATCAACCCCACTCCCCCGCGCTCTCCCCATAGCCTTGATCAACCCCACTCCCCGGCTCTCTCCCCATAGCCCTGATCAACCCCACTCCTCACTCTCTCCCCATACTGATCAACCCCACTCCCGCACTCTCTCCCCATAGCCCTGATCAACCCCACTCCCCCACTCTCTCCCCATAGCCCTGATCAACCCCACTCCCCCGCTCTCTCCCCAGAGCACTGCAAACTTGTCCTCCCCAAATAATTATCTACTTCTCTCTTAAAAGCTGATATCGAATCGGCTTCCCCCACCCTTTCAGGCAATGCATTACGGATCCCAACAACTCGCTGTGTGAAAACATTTCTCCTCACCTCCCCTCTGACTATCTTAAATCGGTGTCCTCGGGTTACTGACCCACCCGCCAGTGGGAATAGTTTCTCCTTGTTCATACTATCGAATCCCCTCATCATTTGAAAACTTCTATTAAGTCTCCTCTTATCCTTCTCTGCTCCAAGGAGAATAATCCCAGCTTCTCGAGCCTCTCCTGATAACTGAAGAAGTAACTCCCCCTCCCTTCACCCCATCCCCTGCGGCTGAGGCTCCTATTCGCCTTTGAGATGTTCTCCTGATGTGAAAGGCGCAACACATTTGTTTACTTTTGCTGTCTTTAACGTGCTTTAATGGGTGGATCACTTTCCGGGGGTAATAATCCCTCCCCCCCAAAAATGTGGTCACTCAATGCACGAGTGTTTGTGGGACACTGCTAAGTGCAATTGCCTGCCGGTTTTTGCCCACAAATACACATTCAATTCACTTTAAGGTATATTCTGTGAAGTGCTTTGCGACATCTCAATGGCGTAATAAGGCGCTGTATGAGATGGAAGGATTATTATTACTATTTGTTGTTGTTCTTGCACGATGTCTGAAAGTGGGATGTGTGGACCTTCTCCTGACGCTTGCGATGTCCTGTTATTCCTGCAGAAAAGATCAGGCAGAGATATGGAGACCTGCCAGGGCAGCTACACATCATCGAGCTTGAGAAGGACAAGAATGGATTGGGACTCAGTCTAGCTGGTAACAAGGACAGGTCTCGCATGAGCGTTTTTGTGGTTGGCATCAATCCCGACGGTCCGGCTGGAAAAGATGGGAGGATCAGGATTGGAGATGAGCTTCTGGAGGTAAGAGTCACAAGCACGTGTCTGAGCTCAATGTGATCTTTAGCTCTTCAAGAAAGTGTCACTTCTACACTATTTTCACAAGTATTCTAAAATCACAGTTCTTTTGCTTTTCACTCTGGCTCAGTTCCTAGCATTCTCGCCTCTGAGTCAGATGATTGTGGGATCAAGCCCAGTATCCAGACCTCTCAACTGTGAAGTTTTCCATGACATTATTATGTGTGCTATCTAAGTGCACCTTGCTGTTGAGCTGTATTGATGCAAAACATTTCCAACTACAGTAAGTCGTATCAGTCGGGACCATAACATTAAGTGAAGTCTGAGTGAAGTCTGAGTTACAGACAAACTGTATAAATCATAGAAAATCTGATTTAATCGATAATCTACACTGCGGATGCATAATTAAACTCAGCCAGTACGTGCGTGTGCACCGACGGCTCAGGACATCATTTTTGCAATTCAAAGCAGACGGTAAGTTCCATCGGTAAGGGACGTTTGGGGAGCAGCGTTACGAGTTAGGATGTGATTATGACGTGTAGTGTAAAGAAATCTAAATGGTTTTGATAGGAAACTGAATGAGACTCGGGTGAATGTTTGGAAAGATAAAACTTATGTTAGTTTTACTGCACTGGCTTTGGGCAAACGTAAAGCAAGCACCCCCTGGAACGTGCTGTGACTGCAGTTTTTTTTTGGGTTGGGGGGGGTCAGAGACTGTCATCTTTGCTTACGTGACTGGCACTCGCTGGAGCTGAAAGTAACAGATGGCATGGACAGTACAGCTGTCAGCGGCAGCTGAGGGAAATCCCTGCTCAAACCAGGCAGCTGCACCAAATTTATGTGAATCTAATTTGGCCATTAACGCTGGCAATCTCTCGGTGCGTCCGCATTGCTTGCTGGCACGTGGGAACCAAAACAAAACACAGAAGATGTAAATGGACGTTTGAAGCGAGTACAAAAAGACAGAATTCATACAATTCAGCACAGAGCAACATCTGTAAATAAGCACTGAATGCCTGAGAAAACCCTCCTGTTTGATCCAACTGCAGCCCTTCTGGATGTGTTCTGAATTTGTGCTTATCCAAGCGGCCGATGCCAGGAAATGGAGCACATCTATCTAATCAAATGCTGATAATTCTCTCTTCTTACCACCTCCCCACCCCGCTCTCCTTTCCCCTTCGCGCCCTCCCTCCCTCGCCTTTCCCCCTTCCAGCCGAGTGGAGGCAGCGGGTAGTGGAGTAGGGAGAAAGCAGCTCGCAAAGATAGGGAGGTGCCAGGGCGTGAAGGGACTTGTAGACAAGTGTGAGGATCTTGAAGTCGATCCATTCTGTGATAGGCAGCCAGCGGAGACTCGCAGAATTAATGATATTCGATCGTAGGATTGAAAATTGGCTTCATGACTGGAAGCAGAAGGTGATGATAATTGAGTAAATATTCCATCTGGGGCTGTGACTGACCAAGTTCTCGTTGTTTAACAATTCCTAAAAGACCTGGTGAGAGGACGTCCTACAATTTTCTGACATTTGATGGTATAGTGGAGCCTGACTTGAGCAACCACAACAATGTGCATTTATATAGCACCCTTCACGCGGGTGAGCTTCCCGCAGCGCTGTGGTTGAGATCCGTAAACTCCCGGACAGCTGGTTCCCACACTCAAAGGAAAATGGCCGACTTACGGGTCATTGGGTCATCACCGATGTCTCTTCCTGTCCACTGTGCATGTGTTAAGCAGGGGGTGTCATCAGGCAGCAACCTTGTGACCTGAAATTCTGCCATTTTGTTGCTAAAGCCAGCGAGCATAATAATAATAATAATAATAATAATCCTCGGATTTGATATCGCGCCTCATCACCTCATGATGCCTTCGAGACGTCTCAAAGCGCTTCACAGGATATATTGTAAAGTAAATTGACTGTATAGTTTTATGGGCGAAACGTGGCAGCCAATTGCGCGCAGCATGCAAGAAGCAAGTGGATTTCAATGTGGATAAACGTAGGTGACATAATGGAACAAGAAACTGCGAGCGATGTGCATAAAGTGAAGCGCCATCCATTAGGTGAGATGGAAGAAGAGAATGAATTGCTGTATAATTATTGATCATTCATTGAATTTTACGATGGGATGAAACTACTATCAATGACGCAAATCACTGTTTCGATTCCCAACAGGCCAAAACCTTAGGCAGGTTTCCTTACTCCACACTCCTCTGTTTACCTCGCAGTAAGTAGGAACCCGGTTGTTGGTCGATTGGCGGATCACTTTCCGGGGGTAAAATAAAATTGCTCATTCAATCCACAACTGTTTGTGTGCAATTGGCCCAATACACAGGTATTTCATTTCACAGTATATTCTGTGAAGTGTTTTGAGACGTCTCGAAGATGTGATAAGGCACTATATCAAATGCAAGGATGATTATTATTATTATTATTCTCCTATTCTCCCAGCTCAGTGTCCAGCACTATCTCTGAAGAGCCTTTTGAGATGTTACTTTGAAAGGCACAATGTAAGTGCATGTTGTTGCAGGGTAACTGTTGCGTGGATGGTAGAGGGATCGGATTCTAAGTGCTGAATGGCCCTTGCTCATTCTATGTTTTATGTTTGCTCTTAAAGCCTTAAATGCAATATTGCTTCTACTAGTGTCGTGAAGCAAAATTGGATGAAGGAGTACACATAAATGAGCATATTAACAACCCATCCCATAGTAAATTAATGCGGAATAGTTCAGCACTCTCTGCCATAAAGATTTAATGACTCAGNAAAAAAAGGACAGATATTGCGGTAGATGAAACCTGTCTGGAAAGCACAGTGACTGATGTTTCTGTGTTTCCGCTGAGCGTGTTTGTAATGGACATTATATTTACTCACAAATCTTGTTGTAAAAATTAAATAAATAATAATTCCTCATTGTATTTCACTGTAGTCCAGCTCTGTTGTAAGGCAGCCTTTTGGGAGAGGAAGAGGTGAGTGGGTGGCAGGATTGTGTTATGACAGGCACATACTCACTCTTGGCAATAAAATGTTTAAAGCATAGTGGAAATCTATCTCTCTCCCTCTCCCAAAAAGCTGTTGGATGCTGGATCCATTGAAATTTTCAAGACTGAAGTAGAAATATATTTGTTAGGTCAGGGTATCAAGGGATATGGGGCAAAGGCAAGTATTTGGAGTTGAGGTACAAATCAGCCATGATCTTACAGAATGGCTGAACAGGCTCGAGAAGCTGAATGGCATAAGTTCCTATGATTCACAATATTTCGTGGATTGATGGAAGCAAGAATTCATATCCCATTGCTCCACTGTGCTACTGCCTTCTATCCAAGTCTGTCACTTACTGAGGATAAAAATATGTTCTTCTTTCCCCGTTAATTAATTCTTTCATAAACTTAAACACCACCTATCACGGAGCAAGTCTCAGGCCAATCTCCCTCAAAGATTTAAATCCACCTATAAACACTTTAAATTTGGTAATTTGTCTCATTGCTAATAATTGGACTCGTTACAGATTAGCTGCCGTATCTGACTGTGTTACATCAGCTAATGCACTTCAAAGTCACTTGTGAAGATCGTAACAATCTTTGCTTGTATCTTTCATTCTTTACATCTGCAGGGCTTTGAGATGATAAACAATTATTGTATAATTGTAAGATGGAATTATTTCTAGTTTTGGTGCAATAATGGGAATTAGGTCCCTGGGATCAGTGCCCTGAGACGCTACCCCATGTGAAGGGCGCTGTTCAAATACAAGTAGTTGTTGTTATCCACAATATAGAATGATTCGAAATATCAGCATTGACTGTACAGTCAGGAACAAGCAATCTAGAGCCAACAATCCCCCCTCCCCCAGCTCACCTTGAGATATCCTCCTGATGTGAAAAGCGCTATATAGATGTAAATTGTAAATTGTTTTGCAAAAGAAATGTGCTCATTTACTTCATGTCTGTATGTGCAAATTGGGGACCAGGTTTACCTGCAACTTGCACAATTGCTACACTTTACAGCATATCCTGTGGTGCGCTTTGATACAGGTCGATGACGAGATACAGCGCTATGTCCGAAGGAAGGACTGTTATATTCCCCCTTTGAATTATCTCTCTTAACGTACCTTCATTTTGGGTTCGCTCTTTCTCTGCCTTCAAACCTCTTGGAATAAATTGAGCTCTTTCACTGTGCCTTTGGTCATCGCTCCTCTCCCTGCTCATTGATTCCCATTTCATGAATTCCCATTGCCCTTGTAAAGTGCTTTGAGGTATTCAACCACCAGTGAGTGTACGTTCCAGAATAAATTCCACCCTCTAGTTATCACAAGGGATTCAAGTTATCAAGCCAATTACTAAAGCAAGAGAGAAAATGAGAGGGAACAAAATTAAAATTGAAGTTAAAAGAGAAAAAAATACTTTGACTCCAACATTGCTCCAACCAAAGAAAACTTATACCAGTCCTGTCATTATGCATCACTTCCCTGCTGATAAAATGTAACGCTGCACTCTCCAAGGATTATCCTCAATTATAGCACATATAAAAGTGAACGTACAGATTGCGCTGTGCTTTGAGCACCTTGAGACATCCGCCCAACATGAAAGGAGCTTGATAAATGTATTTTGTATTGTGTGGTGCTGTTCCTTAATCTTCACAGGAAGCCTTGTTGCTGGTAGATGTATAAGAATGTTTAGAAATTTGTATTCTGTTGAAATTCTCAGCACTTTCACTGAAGCATAAATTCAAAAATATGGCTGAGTAAGTATTTGCAGAATGGAGTTACACGTGGGACAATGTAGCTGATATATGCAACAGCTAAGATTCTTGTTCACTCAGAGATCGTTCAGAAAATCACACTCGTTAGCAAAAAGGAGGTCAAAGATTGCCAAAACCCGGCTCACTTCAAAATTGTGCAAGCCATTGGATGTTCCTTCAGTCAGTGGAGTCCCGCAGCTCAGTGGTTAGAGCATTCACCTCGCAAGCGAGAGGAATGAGGTTGGATTCCCGGGCAGGACAAAACGTTAGGCGAGTTTCCTTGCTCCACACGCCTCTGTTTACCCAGCAGTAAGTGGGAACCGGTTGTTAGATGATTGTTGGATCACATTTCCCACTAATAATTCCTCCAAAAAAAAATTTTTATGTAATAATTTGGTCACTCAATCAAAGACTGTTTGTGGGGCACAGGTGTGTTGGCTGCCGGGTTTTGCCCACAATATACACAGTCACTTCACTTTACAAGTGTTAAGCGCTTTAAGATATCTTGAAGACATGATAAGGCACTATATCAAATGCAAGGATTATTATTATTATTATTTATATACAGGACCTTCAAAATGTTTCTTGTCTGATTAAGGGAAAGAATGGGAGTGGGAGAGATGGACCTGACCATACCTGGTGGGTGAGGGAACCAAGGCTCAGAGTCACGATGGTGAAAATGACTGTTGCTTTAGCCGTTCCTGCCCTTTTATTCCAATGACATATTCTGTAATAAGACTTAGAGCTTAATATCTCAATATCTTCCCAATTCCCTTCTCTTTCCACAAGTTTTTTGACAACCTGAAGAGGCATACGGGACTTTGGTTCATGCAATGCCCTCACATTAGACGACACCATCACCCATGGAAAGTTCTGCATAGATTCTCCCTGAAGGTTATTGAGCAGACGGGACCTCGGTTTAACATCTCATCCAAAGAAGATGATAATCCAGCGTGCCCTAGTGTACTACATTGGAGCATCCACCTAGATGATTTGAGTTCAAAGTCCCGACATGGGGCTCAAACTCACAACCTTCTGACTCGGAGGCGAGAGAGCTGCCAACTGAGCTAGGCTGACACCCTAATCAGTGACCAGGGTGAATCTGTCCTCTGGCATTCCCCAATAAACCCCATCGCACAACTTCACAAACACGTCTCCTGTTTTTCTATATGATCCAAACATGGTTTCAGTAAGAGGACAACAACAACAACTTGCATTATAGCACCACTCAAGCAGGGTTGTATCCTAGGACTTCTCCATTTAGCTACATAGGAGCAGGAGTAGGCCATTCAACCCCTCAAGCCTGTTCCACCATTCTGTTAGATCATGACTGAACTGTACCTCAACTCCAATTACCTGCCTTTGCTCCAGCTCCATCTGTTGCAGTTCAGGTCAGGTTATCCAATCTCTGCAAGTTGCGGTTAGGTCACTGACTAAGTGCATGTCCCATATCAAACCAGACTGTATTTGAAATTATAATTTGCAAGGCAAAATTTATCGCTTCATGCTGACTAATTTCCACTGGTTATGAAGGATGGCAACATAATTCATTTCCAAAAATTTCTGCAGATCTGGAGGCAAAAAACAATTCTTTATTGGTCAGCTAGATTTACTATGTATTGATGGATTTTTTTTACTGCTATGAAGCTTGCATTTGTTATAGTTTTTGCACAGTGTAATTAGATATGGATTTTTGTTGTTCTGCTTTGTATTTAGGCAGATGGTATCTGGAAACTATAACAATATGCTGAGATATTTTGACAGGATGAGGCTCTGTATTAATTGGGAATACTATTTTAATTACTTGTCTAACTTGGGCCACCTTGCCTGTTATAATAATAACTCTTGCTTTCTAAACATCTCAAAACATTTCACAATTTTTCTGTAAAATCTATTAACTATGTATTTGTAGCCAAACACAACAGCCAATTTTTAACATAGCACTCTCCTACAAATAAGTATGAAGTGAATGAGCATTTTGGCGTAGATTGTTGGGAGAACCCTCCCTTATCTTTTCGACTCGGGGAAAGAGATGGGGTTACTTAAAGAAAAGACTAAAAAAAAGGGGTGACTTCAAGAAAAAAAAATAATTCTTGCATTTGATATAGCGTCTTTCAGGTCATCACTGAGCTACAGGACTTTGTGGAGTCCTGTAGCTCAGTGGTTAGAGCACTCGCTTTGCAAGTGAGAGACCTGAGTTCAATTCCAGGCAGAGGGCAAAACCTCGGGCAAGTTTCCTTACTCCACACAGAGCCTAATAATAATCCCTCCAAAACAAAACAATAATAAATTGGTCATTTTCAATCTACAACTGTTTGTGGGACATTGCTGTGAGCAATTGGCTGCCGCGTTCGCCCACAACTATACAGTCAATTCACTTTAGTCTATTCTGTGAAGCGCTTTGGGACGTCCTCCCGACGTGAAAAGCGCTATATCAAATGCAAGGATTATTATTATTATTATCAAGATATCTCAAAGTGCTTCACAGGATATACTATAGAGTGTCGTAACTGTATCTTGCGGGTGAAACGCAGCAGCCAATTTGGGCTCACAATCAGCCATGGAGGAGTGATCAATTTTAATTTTTTTCCCAGGATACTGGGAAAAACTCCCTTCTCTTTTCGAATAGTGCCACGGAATCGTTATCGTCCAACTGAACAGGCAGATGGGTCCTCGGTTTTACCGTCTTATCCGAAGGACGGCTGCTCCTCCAACAATGCAACTCACTCCCAGGGCTGCATTGGAGTGTCAGCTTAGACTACGATTCCAAATCCCAACTTGGGGCTTGAACCCATAACCTTCTGATTCGGAGGCGAGAGCTCTACCACTGTGACAGGTTGACACAGAAAGCGATAGCAGTGGCAAAATCACTAATCATCCCTCACCGTGAAGAATGTTTCTCCCTCGCTGACTCTTTGACACTCTTTTTGCTCAGTGTCACTTGCACACTGTTTAATCTCTTTCCAGCTCGCACGCTTATCCACATAACTGCTGTGGGATCGTGCATGATGACAATCTAAGATCACTTCCATGACAGCCCTTAGCTCTTAGCGCAACCCCGATAGAGCCTTACATTCAGCATATTCCCATCGTATTCGGTTACAAGCAACAATTAGGTAGCCAGTAAGTGCATGTTGCTTTATGCACCTGTGCCACGTAGTTTTGGTCCTTTACCCCTAGCTTTGCGGAGTGTTATTAATCGTTTCAGTGTAGCATTTATTTGTCAGTGGGGATGTTAAGTGATAAGTTGCCAGGCAAGTACTAGTTTGTATGTATCGTAGCTTAGTGGCTGCTTTTGTTCCGTACCTAAAGTCGCTATTTCCCTTTGGTAATCTGCAGATAATTTACGAAATCCCATTAATGTGCTTTTCTTTTAATTCACGCAGATCAACAGCCAGGTTCTGTACGGAAGAAGCCATCAAAATGCATCCGCAATTATAAAGAACGCTCGAACAAAGGTCAAAATAGTTCTGATAAGGTAATGCCTTCCTCATTAAATAAGCCAATGCTTGTTAATTTCATATCTGATGTACGTAGCGAGAGCTGTATTGCAGGCTGTTGTAATTCTTATTAAACCAATGTGTTGGTGGATCCAGACTGAGTCTGCAGTGTTTCATTTTAAAAAAGGATATTCCCTTCAGCCCAATGTGAGTTATTGCTACAACGGCATTCAGCGGCTGGGCAGTGAGCTTTGTTTTTAATCGTTTCACAGTGAAGGTAGGTCACCTGCTTACACAGTCTCCGGTATAAAACCTTAAAACTGCTGAACAGGGCCATAGAGTGTCCTGTCTGCCTGGGCTTGACCGGTTCTGTATCTTTCCTGTGACCCTACAATTTTTTCTTTTAAAAAAATCCCCGTAATATTACAGCAATAAAACCAGTTAGCTTCACTGCTCTTGCCAACTTGGGGGCAACCTCATTAATCTGGTGTGGATATTGCAATTTGGCAGGATATTGGCTTTACGTTGAACTGAAAACTGTAAAGCCATTATTCCGCTATTCGGGAGACAGAAGCCTTGCTCTGGAAATCCAACACACCAGACACTCGATCTCTGGGATTTCTCCATTGAGAATGGATTCGGAGAGCAGGGGGTGTGGTGGGTGAGGAGTGGGAGCTGCCTTCCGTCCATTCGATGTTGCGTTGGACCTCAATTTTGACGTTTTTGGTGAAACAAAGTTTGGCCACATGCGCAGCTGAAGTACTTTACAGTGGGGGGAGGGGGCTAATGGGAATGTAATTGCTGAACATTCAGTAAGGTCTTGGTGGGCTGCGCTTCAATTGAGAAATCTGCATCACACGGTGACCTCTGGGCAAGGGATAATGCCGAGCCCCTTATAAATCTCCGTCCATCCATGCATTTGCAGAACCATAAAAGTGCATGAGTTGTAATAGTTGTGTGAGGGTTGGAGCAAGGTCTCATGAAGTCCTGGAGCGTAGTGGTTAGAGCACTCGACTCGCAAGCAAGAGGACCGAGGTTCGATTTCCGGGCAGGGCAAAACCTTGGGAAAGTTTCATTACTCCATACGCCTCTGTTTTCCTAGCAGTAAGTAGGAACCCGGTTCTTAGTTGATTAGCAGATTACAAATAATAATTTGGTCACTCGTCATGACTGTTTGTGGGACGCTGCTGTGTGCAATTGGCTGCCGTGTTTCGCCCACAAAATATAAGTCAATTCACTTTACAATATATTATGTGAAGTGCTTTGAGATGTCTCAACAACGTGATAAGGCACTGTATCAAATGTAAGGATTGTTATTATAAACCACTGCCCTATCTAGCCACAGACCTCACACATTTTGTTAATGTTTAATAAGCTGCCATTTCAAGCAAGGCTTTTCTTAGAAAACATGCTAATTACACAGCTCAGTACTCACACAACTGGAACCACTCTGCTTATTGGCTGGCAGGTTGAAGAGTGAGAACGTATTTATGTTTTTATCTGCTTAATGAGCGCCACTGTCTCCCCAGCGTGTTAACTGCCTTCCATTTGCTCCTTCCCCCCCCATTTGCAAATCACTTTGTATTGAAGCAAAGTAAGAAGCATTTGTTTGACATCTTGGTTCTGATAATAATGTAACAGCAATAAGTCTGCTTCCCTCCCCCAACACATACACACACACAAAATGTATTTCCATATAAAGTAATGCTTCAGAATGAGAGTTCACAAGCCAGGCAGTCACCTGACCGAACATTGACGGTAAGACAGCTATCAATCTCTTCCTGTGTCCCTGGTTACTTACACAGCAATGTGTGTCCTGTGTTAAACACAAGTACAAAGTGATTTATCTGCAAGGAGGGAGGGATTGTACCAGCATCAAGATCAATTCATACTATCTCACAGTTTACAGAGGTGTATTAGATTTTAAACAGGACTGAGAAAGTAAACCCAGAACTATACTTTGAGATAACAGGCCAAGAGAGCACAGGTTTAGAGTTGCAAAGGGCAACACAACCCCCACATTCATTCCAATGCTAAGATTGCTTTTTGCCATCTCCTTAATTTGTCCACTTGTGTGCTTCCTTCACCCTCTCTGCCACTGAAATCCTCCTTGGTGCCTTCATCAATGTGCTTCTCCAAAGACAAGGAGCGTGGAATGAGAAACATAAAGAGATTTATATCATCATGTCATAAAAATCTCAAGGATGGCTCAAATGGCCTTCTCCTATCCCTAAGACTTGGGATGTTGGGCAGACCCGAAAGGTGCTATATGAATGCAATTTGTTGTTCTTCTTATTGTTCCAAAAACAACACTCTCCCTCTCGGTGATGTCATCCGCAGACATAGGGTTAACTTCCACATGTATGTGGATGACACCCAAATCTACTTCTCCTCCTCCAGCTGTGTCTCCCAGTCCGCTGATGTCTTGTCAGTTTGTTTGATGGATATCAAGGCCTGGATGAGCGCAAATTTCCTGCAGCTGAATGTCAGCAACGTCTGAACAACTCAATCTCCCAGAAACTCTCCCTCAGATTCACTGAACCCGTGTGCAACTTAGGTGTCAGGTTCGATCCCCAGCTTTCCTTTCTACTCCACATCCGTTCCCTGACCAGGACCGCCTATTTCCACCTCTGCCACAGTGCCTTCTCCGTCCATACCTCACAACCAAAGCACCCGAAACCCTTAACCCTTTGTCATTTCCCGGCTGGAGTATTCCAATGCCCTCCTCGCTGGTCCACATACATAAAATTCAACTTAATTGAAAACTCCGCCACCCAGATACTCAACCGTACAAAACCCACACCCCAGTCCTTGCCAGGCTCCACTGGCTGAATTAATCCAATTACTGAACAAATCGATTTCAAGATCCTCTCACTCGTTTCCAAATCCGTTCATGCCCTCGCACCTCCCTACCTCTCCAACCTGCTTACCCCTCACTCCGCCACCCGCTGCCTCCGCTTGTCACCCATCCCCGCTGTGCCTTCAGCCACTATGCCCCAATATTCTGGAACTCTCTCCCTCAATCCCTCTGCCTTCCCCCCTCCCTTCCCACCTTTAAATTTCCATGTGTAGGTGGGATGCATGGGATTCTCAGCTTGGTTTAGATACTCTTAAGGCGTAGGTTTGCAAAAGCCAAGGCTTTGCAAACCTACGCCTTAAGAGTATCTAAACCAAGCTGAGAATCCCATGCATCCCACCTACACATGGAAATAATAATCCCTTCAAAAATCAATAATTAAATTGGTCATTTTCAATTTACGACTGTTTGTGGGACATTGCTGTGCCCAATTGGCTGCCGCGTTCGCCCACAATTATACAGTCAATTCACTTTACAGTGTGTTCTGTGAAGCGCTTTGGGACGTCCTCCCGACGTGAAAACCGCTATATCAAATGCAAGGATTATTATTATTATTATTATTATTAAATCCCGCCTAAAAACCTTGCTTTTTGATTGTGCTTGCGAACACTTCCCCCCCTCCCTCCCTCTCCCACTGGCTCGTTGTCAGATCCTGCCACTGTCAAGCGCTCCGGGGCGCTACCCCGGGTGAAGGGTGCTGTGTATAAACGCAAGTTGTTGTTGTAAAAGGCTTAATTGTATCTAAAGCCTGAAAGATGACCCCATATCTGGGCGGCAATCTGTAAGGTTTGGAGCCCAAGTTTGACATCTCCTTAAAAACTTCTTGTCGTCTCTTGTCTTCTCTGCTGGTGATGTTAAACTCCATTAGTTACCCCAACGCAAACTCTGTGTCCCCAAGCCTTGGCTTTTGCAAACCTACACCTAATACTTTCTGGATAATACTAATACTTAAGGGAAATAGGATGCGTCCCTCCAGGGAGTGAGTGTGTATTCCATTCCAACAATCTATCTCTGGGATTTCCATGTGTAGGTGGGATGCGTGGGATTCTCAGCTTGGTTTAGATGCTCTTAAGCACAGTGATGGGTTCTGCACGTGTTAAACACCTGGCTGACCAAAAAATAAATTGATCCCTATAGGCTTGGCCTGGGCTCTCCGTAAAGAACAAGGGAAACACAGCCATTCCTCATTGGGTTTTAAAATGAATGATAGGTTGAAACCAAGGAGAAAATAGGTGAGATCTTCTGTGCACTTGTGGGGCCCCTTCGAGCCAATGTTGAACAACACCTTTGAACTGTTTACTTTTGCATCAAGATGCACTGTAACTGAGTGAAGGGTTTGGTGTGTTTAAAATTAGCTGATAATTCTGACTTGATGGGAAAATATTCCACTTGCAAATGTAATTTGTTCAGTGCCGACCCCCATATTAGAACTTATTTTAAGTGACAGCCACATCAGTTGCACTTATCATCAATTCTTCTTTCCCATGGCTGAGAAAAATAATCATTCAGCAATCGAATAGTCATTGTGTTTGTTAGGAAACATAGCACTTGTTTTCCAGCAGTCTGGTCAGAGATGTTGCAAAGCAATAGGGATATCGGCCACATAATACAGTCAATTCCCTTTACAGTATATTCTATGAAGCACTTTGAGACGTCTCGAAGATGTGATAAGGCACTCTATCAAACACAAGAATTATTATTATTACTTTCATATCAAATGCACTATGATGTAGAACTGTAACGTAGATCACGAGAGAGGTTCAGATGAAATCCTTTTTTGGCCCATCCAATCTCAGTCTTCCCGAACACCAATCTCGCCATCTTCACATCACAGCATCAAGTGGTTTCCCAGTGTCCTGGCCTCAGAGCCCTGCTGTTAGTCTGCTTCAGGGGTCAATTAACAGCTGTGGAGATTGCCTTTCACAACCCGGAGTCTGTGCCCTCTTGCCCTGTTGCCTTGGAGGGAAAAGGAAAGTATTCTTCGATGGCGGGTGACACTAACTAAATTCATGCCAGTCACTGAAAGCTTAGATCTCCCTGGGCAACCCTCCCTCACCTCTTTCATGGTCCATCTCAATATCGACCTCTTTGATCGCACCTTCGGTCATCTTCCCCCTCCCGGCTCTACCCCTCCACCCCCTACCCTCTCGGCTCCCACCCTGAGCTCGAGGGCCAAGCCAGCTGGGTTAAGTGCCTCGGGTAGTTCTCCTGACATGAAAGGCGTGTATAAATGTAAATTTGCATTGTGTAGTATCAGTTCATTTTTATTGAGGCTTACTTTTCAAGCGAGAGAAGTCAATTTCACCTTCCACCGTCCTCTGTGGTCATCATTAAAGGTTATTTTTTTCCCTTGCTTCGTGTTGTGGGTGATTGTTAGCGATTTCATTGAATGCCAATTTCCCCCAGTTAGCATGCGCGGTGAGAAGATAAACTGCCAGAGCTTCACTGTGCTGGGGTGGGCCTGGCCAGTGACCAGTCCTGATTCACAGTAGTATTTACACTATCAAAACCAGTCACATTTTTAGTGGCGGCGAGGTGACTGACTTTTCAGAATGCGACCAATGCAAGGAGGTGGTGGTTGGGGGGAGTGGGGGAAGAATGAGACGCTGATTGACAAAGCCAGTGACAGGATGGATTAAAGGTTACTCAATTCATGCTGGAGTGTAGGTACCATTCAGTGACAGATGAAGGCTAATGGTATTCAGTGAGTTACAGCAGACAGCTGGCTTCTGTGTAAATCACACAGTGTAATGTCTGCTCAGCCGCCTGCTTGCTCTACCTTCACTTTGGGCCTTGAGGAGTTTACATACAGTCTCAGTCTCGCAAGTCACAGGCTTCCTCGGTGCCATTTAATATTATTTTGCGAATGACTGAAAGCAGACTGAGCAAGGTATGGAAGGGGAGGACGTTTGCTTTCTAGAGATTGATGCAACCAACAATTATTTTTGCGACCAAATGTTTTGCTTTGTGACTAAACTTTACAATTCCGTTGCAGAATCCTGCAGCACACACGCATGTGTTTGTGTGTGTTTGTCTGTGTGTGTGTGTGTGTGTTTGTGTGTGTGTATGTATGTGCTGGGGGAGGAATTGAAGAAAGTGTCTTAGATTTTGGGCAACATCATCACAGAAGCAACTTGCATTTATCTTGATGGGAAAAAAATGAGGGTTTGATTGACAACTGTCACGATTTCACTAACATTTGCAAACATTCAAAGACTTTGGGAAGACTTGATGGTCAGAAACCTTCTGGACTTAAAAAGCAAATTTATCTTCCTTTCGTCAGAGCAGTGAAGACATTTTTCTGGCTCGCAGCAAACATAGCTTCCAGCTGCATGCGATAAGCCAAAGCCACGTCACCTGTTAAAGGTATGAACGAGCTGATTGATATTATTTTTCCCTTTCCCGTGTGGAGGATGAGGAAGGTGGCATTTTCAGCACTTTAATCGTATTCCATCCTACAGGTCAGGTTTGCCTCTTAATTAATCTCACAGCTGTGTTGTGCTGTTGGAATTGTATTACTGATGATACAGAGATGAGAGAGAGTGAGAGAGAGAGAGAAATTATAAAGGCCCCTTTCCATCACCGAGGCGAGATGTGTACATTTTGTATCTGAAAGGTTCTCCAATGTGACTTGTGTGGATTAGGTCAGAGCATTGGAGCTATTGAAGGCAAGTCACACTACAACATGGCATGCCTAGGGCACTAACACGCTTGCAACCATGAAAACCCATGATTAAAGCAGAAAGAAGGAAAGAGAAAAAAAAAGAAGGAAAAGAGAAAAAAAAAAGGAGTGTTGGTTCCGTGCCCGAGCGCCTGGGTTTGTTAATACTTTTCTTGCCCATGAAGGGCTCGGGCAGAAGAGAGTCATTTCCCGTCTCAGAGCCACAGAGCATCCAGGAAAGGCAACAGGAGGCAGGGAGGAGAATGTCAGAGATTACCATTCAGTGCAACGCCGGGCTTGCAGCATGACGTGGCTCTGTTATTGAACGGGTTGAAGGTACCTACTCAGCTGGCTGAGGGGAGTCAATCCTAGCAAATATGCCCATCTTTTCCTTCACCATCTTCTGCTGCTCTGAAGGGTAACTGCAATCGTTTTTACTCCCTAAACTTAAGATGTTTTGCTCCCTGATTTCCTCACCGCCTGTGCGAAATTAATTCGATCCGGCAGTCTTGTTTACTTCTGCAGTGCTGTGTGTGCAAAGCGAATATTACTTGTGTCAGGAATCGCTTGTTTAGCTTCTGTGCAAGTCACTAATTTGTACTATTTCTTCCTAACTTTATTTTTTCGTTACCTCCCCTCCTCTCCCCCCCCCCCCCCCCACTTTACAATGCATGGGATTAATTGTTATTTGTCCATCGCTAACTTTTGATCTATAACAACATCAATAACAAATTACATTTGTAGAGAGTCTTTCGTATCAGGAAGAACAGTCAGTACTGGAATCCACACCCGAGCTGGTGGTTGGGATTAGGAGGGTGGGGGTTGGAGGGTGACCGAAGGCACGGTCGAAAAGGATAGTTTCGATATGGGTCTTGAAGGCGGCAAGGGGGGGTGCGAGGCCGAGGGACTGGGATGACCAATTTAGGGAGGACGCACAGAATTTCAAACCAATTTAACAAGTGAAACAGTGCTCACCCTTTATTATGATAATCAAAGTAATGCTAATATATTAAAAATAATCCTTGCATTTAATACAGCATCTTTTAGGTTGGGAGAACGTCTCAAAGCACTTCACAGGCTTTACATTGAAGTGCGGTGACTGTGCATTTTGTAGGCATATTATATCAGGAAACTGACCCAAAGATACTACCTGTTGATTAACACCTGTGCCAGCTACACTCATTAGAAGTGCTTAGCCATGCTCAGTAAATCAGCCGTTTGTTTTAGAGTTTTATATATGTATTTTTTTTACTGCATATGACGAACATTCCTGGGTGATTCCGAGAGTTCCTAGATTAAAAGACCCAACTCTTTCAAAACATTTCTATTGTTCTATCAATAACGCGAGCGCTTTATTGGATTTCTCCGGCACTTGACAATGCGCTTGCTCTCACCCAGACAGTCTGCTCTCCTTTCAGTCGGTCTTTTCGATGAGTTTGAAATCTCTCTCGACTTGCGTTTGAGGCTGCCAGCAGCAATGGGGATTCTCTTGGCTTTTTAAGCAAAATCTGCTAAGTAGTCAGCTCAAGCAACTGAGGTGCTGAAATATTGCTGTGACAAACTAAAGTTAAGACTGCCGACCACCTACCCCACTTCCGTTTTTTTGTCAACAACAAAATGCACAGTCATTTCAGCCCCGAGACTCTGGAAATCTCTCCCTCAATCCTGCCGCCTCATCCTCTCCCTCCCCACCTTCAAATCCTGTGGAAAGATAGAACCATGGAAATTCATGGCACAGACAAAGGCCATTTTGCCCATCATGTCTGTGCTGGCTCCTTTACAACAACAACTTGCATTTATATAGCACCCTTTACATGGTATTTATCTAGTTCCCTTTTGAAACCTGAACCACTGCTCCCGGCCAAGCATTCCATATCTTAACCACTCAGAATCAGAAAATAAATTCTCCTAACCTCTCCATTTTCTCATTTACTAACTAACTTAGATAGATTACAGTGCAATCCTGTGAAACACTTTGAGACGTCCACCCGACGTGAAAGAGCTGTATCAAAGATTTTGAACCATTATTATTATTTCCCCCCCCGCCCCCCCAGCTGTGTGCAACCAATTGCACAGGGCAGTGTCCCACAAACAGTCACGGATTAAATTGACCAATATTTTTTAAAAAAAGAATTTTGTTCTCTGGAAAAGCGATCTGCCAATCGACTATCAGCCGGGTTCCAATTTACTGCTGGTTAAACAGAAGCGTGTGTGTGGTGTAAGGAACCCAATATTTTGCCCTCCTGGGAATCGAACCCAGGTCTCTTGCTTGCGGTGCGACTGTTCTAACCACTGAGCTACAGGAAATGTCTGGCAATGGAATGTTGGAATTGGGGTGGAGACCATCACACTGTGACTATCTCTAGTCCAGTTCCTGAGCCTGGAGGGTCCGCAGTATTCCAGGGCACTGTTGAAGACAGCCCAGCCCAGCCTGGCTCATCGGCAGAACCTGGAAGCGCAGACCAGTCGCTGGAGGCAGGGAATCATCCCCCTCATCTCCTGTTTAACCTGCAGCCAAAGTTCTAACGGGTATAGTGGTCCGAGCTGGACAAGCAGCAGGAAAGCTTGCCGGACAGCAATATCAATGGCAAGCTGTGTGTGGTTTTAGCTGGTTAGACTCCAGCAGTTACCCCCAACGCACACTCTGGGGTCCCCCCAAGCCTTGGACTAATACTCTCCGGAATTAGGTAAGCAGGATGCGTCTACTCCAGAGAGAGAGAGAGAGAGAGAGAGTGCATTCCATTCCAACAATCTGTCTCTGGGATTTCCACATGTAGGTGGGATGTATGGAATTCTCATTTTGGTTTGGAGACTCTTAAGCAACGGTGATGGGTTTCCGCGTGTGTCAGGCACCCGGCCAGGCAAAAATAAATACAGAATTGAAACCTTTGTTTTAAATGAAAAACGAAAAGCAATTTACTTTGCTGAAACTTTAAATGAAATGTTTAAATTAAGATTGTGGTGAGCGATTCTTTTTGCGCTCAACAGTCTTAATTGGATTTTTTGTTTAAAAAAAGAGACCTGCAAGTTATATTTTTCAATTACTTTCTCTTTTTTCATTAATACAGGAATGAAGATGCTGTTAATCAAATGGCCGTTACTCCCTTCCCTGTGCCATCCAGTTCACAGTCTTCCATTGAGGTAAGCATCTGGGTAGCTATTCCCTACCTTATTTTAGTTTAATAATCCTTGCACTCATTTTAGTCTAACTCCGAAACATCTTGCATCTCTTTACAAGAAATTGCTGTCAAGTGTAGTGACTGTGTATTTCAACTCCTTGAAAATCTACTAACTCGGTTTCCTAATATTAATGGGTAATTCTTTTACACTTGTGAAATTAAACGCAAGTCAGACTTTTTTTCTCCCGAGACTGACTCCCAGAGGTAGGTTATTTTTGGTCCGCTGGGTGTCTGACACATGCGGAAACCCATCACTGCACTTAAGAGTATCCAAACTTATGTGTGCCACCCTACTTTGTACCAATGTACTGCCACACATAACTATGCTACCTACACATGACAATTCCCCGTGTCAGGAATGAAATGCATCCTCTCTCCCTGGAGGGATGCACTCTGCTTACAGAATCCCAGATAGTTTTGGCTTTGGGAGTGTGTGTTTGGGGGATAACAGCTGTCTTAAAACCACATAGCTTGTCATTGAGAGCTTCCCATTGCTTGTCCAGCTAGGACCACCCCACAACAACAATAACAACAACTTGCATTTATATCGTACCCTTTACGCGGAGTAGTGTCCTTAAGTGCTGGGGGTTTGACTTGCAGGGATAGCAGTTGCTGAGTGGGAAGAAGAAGAATCCATGCTCGTAAGTCCTGCCGATGAGCAAGGCTGGCTGAGCTGCCATCAGCAGTATGGATCTGAAAAGACACGACAGCGTAAATCCCACCCTAATAACTTCAATAATAAAATCAGAATGACTTGCTAAACAGATGCCTCCAGTCACATAGTCTGACATGCTGGTGTTTCAATCTATGTTAGTCTGTTCTGAGTGTCTCAGCCTAGCTAGCTTGCATGTCTACAGTGTTATTATAATAACAATAAAATAATCCTTGCGTTTCATATAGTGTTTCGCCCGCAAAATATACAGTCAATTCACTTTACAGTATATTCTGTGAAGAGCTTTAAGACGTCTCGAAGACGTGATAATACATCAAAGGCAATGATTATTATTATTGCACCTTATCGCATCGTTGAGATGTGTCAAAGCAGTTCAGAGAATATACTGTAAAGTGAATTTTGTGGGTGAAACGCAGCAGCCAATTGCCCACAAACGTTCTTCGATTGAGTGACCAGGGTTTATTACCCCTGGAAAGCAATCTGCCTCGACTGACAACAGGGTTCCTATTTACTGCCAGGCAAACAGAGGCGTGTGGAGTAAGCAAATTTGCCTAAGGTTTCGACTTACCCGGGAATCGAACTCAGATCCTCTAGCTTGCGGAGGCGAGCGCTCTAACCACTACGCTACATTATCCATCTTGTCTGTTGAGCAAATGCTCCCATATTAAGACTTGGGATTAAGCTCCATAGAGTCATGCAAATCGATCTTTGCTTAAAGGCCGGGTGTCCACAAAATTATTCGAATAACATGGGCACGAAACTGCCGGTTTACAGAGATTGTTCAGTGTTCAAGCTGCTTGAATCCACGTGGGAATTAGTGAAGCTGGATAGCTGACAGCTTGCTGGCCTCTGGTGTGTCAATTTTCAAGGAAAAACGTTGGGTTTAAATTAGCTTCTACATAAGAAGCTGCTACAGTTGCTTCTCCTTTGCTTGCAGTAGATTTTTTTTTGCGGCTGTGCCTTTCTGAATGAACATGCTCATAATTTTCCAATTGAATGATGGAGCTGGTGCCAACCCCACATAAAAAAAATTTTCAAAAATAATAATTTGGTCACTCAATCCACATCTGTTTGTGGGACGCTGCTGTGCGCAATTGGCTGCTGCGTTGCGCCCACAAAATATACAGTCAATTCACTTTACAGTATATTCTCTGAAGCGCTTGGAGAAGTCTTGAAAACGTAATAAGGCGCTGTATCAAATACTGGGATTATTAGTATTATTATTAATAGTATATATTAGCAAAGGAACAGGAGTGGGCCATTCAACCCCTCGCGCCTGTTCTGCCATTCTATTAGATCATGGCTGATCTGTACCTCAACTCCAAATACTAATGCAAAGTGCTGGAATTTGTCTGTAAATGTTCTCTGGCTGCTTGCGTGGTTTGCCATCGAGCCTGATGCGAGCTCTCAATTTTTGGTTTTGGTCACACGAGGGAGTTTGACACACGGAAACCCATCGCCGTGCTTGCTTGCCAAACCAGCCTGAGAGTTCCATATAATAATAATAATAATCCTTGCATTCGATATAGCATCTTATCACATTGTTGACACGTCTCAAAGCGTTTCACAGGACATGCTGTAAAGTGGAGTGGTTGTGTATTTTGTGAGTGAAATGAGGCAGCCAGTTTCCGCACAGCAGTGTCCCACAAACAGCCATGGAATGAGTGATCAATTTTGGGGCGTAGATTGTTGGCCAGACACCAGGAGAAACTCCCTTCTCTTTTCGAATAGTGCCATACGATCTTTAACGTCCACCTGAACACACAGACGGGACCTCAGTTTAATACCTTCTCCAAAGGATGGCACTTCTGACAGTGCAACACCATCACAGCACTGCATTAGAGTGTGTGCATATGTGCATGCCTCCATTAGGAAGCTTCCCCTGTATGTCCAATTGTGCCTTGGGTTAAAAACCCACTTTTAAATTTACAGTTTTGGTTAATTATCAAATTAATTATGAAATTAATAACTGGTGCCATCTTTGTCACCAACGACCCATTCCATTGGTTGCAGGTTACATAGTAAAGTATTCCCTCCATTCGTACATGCTTGCACATGGTTAATCCAACACGCAAATTAAACCCCACACTTTACCTTAAGCGTGCCTTTGAGCGTTGATTTCATGCTGACACTGGAAGAGATTTGAGCTTTGAAAGTGAACTTCATAGAAAGTGAGCTTTGAAAGTCAGCATTCGCCTGGCAAGCGAGAGGACCTGGTCTGGAACAGTTACGCAACTATTTATTAAAATGAATGGGGCACAGAAATCCTAGTGAATGTGCAGCCGTACAATTCTGAATTGCGGGTTAATTAATGTTACCAACTAACAAATCACGAGATGGATTTAGGGCAACTATAAATGTTTTAATTATCGATTGAATCAATCAAGGCAGCCGTGTACGTTTGCATGCTGGTTACCCCAAGTCGTAAATTTAGCACACGTGGCTCTGTGAACAGATTTTGGCCCAGCCAGTTGGATAAGGTTGGGGGAGGAGTGAGAATTAAAAACTGCGTTTTTCACCCCTGAAGATGTTCTGCGGGGAAAAATTATCCTCTTTCTTGTGTTGGGAGGTGGAAGGGAAAGAGGCAGTTATTGCATTGCATGTGTTTAAAACGCAGATTTTATTATTATTGGCGGGGTGGGGGTGGCTTGCTCTGGAATTTGGCACTCATATAGTTGTCACTGGGAATGTGGATAAATTCTTGTCGCAGATCAATCTTAATAATAATAATCCTTATATTTGATGCAGCTCTTTATCGCGTTGTTGAGACGTCTGAAAGCACCTGCTTTCAGGAGTATCGAAAGTAAAACGGCTCCACTCTCATTGTTCCCTTCTTTTCACAGCAGTCCCAGATCTGTGGCTGTCACATGATGGTGGGTTTTACTCTCTTTTCCTTTTGATCTTTGCATCAACTGACGATCTCTTTAGCGAGTCGCTTGGCTGGGGCTGCGGGGGGGAAATACAGACAGTCAAGGAAGAGAAGGCGAGGGGAGGTGACCGGATCCAATTTTTTAAGTCATTCTGAACCTCTCTGTGCGGATGCAATATTCGAGTGAAGATCAACAACAATATCAGTTAACTAGTTGAATCTGTATAGCTCCTTTCACGTCCGGAGGACGTCCCAAGGCACTGGACAGTCTGGGATTTATACCCAAGCTGGGGGTTGGGATCAGGAGAGGTGGAGGCTGGGGATAGGAGAGTGACCGTCACAGTCAAACAGAAGGAGTAGACAGGTTACAATAATATCTTACAATAATAATAATACATCTCCTCCTACCCATGGAAATTCTAGAGATATTAATTGGAATGTAATGCGCACTGTCCCTGGAGGGACGCGTTCTGCTTACCTAATTCTGAAAGGTATTAGTCGCAGGTTGGCAAGAGCCAAGGCTTGGGGACCCCAGTCCCAGGCTGGAGCTGAACCAGCTACAATTACATAACTTGCTGTTGAGAGCGCTGTCTGGCAAGCTTTCCTGTTGGTTGTTCAGCTAGGACCACCCTACCCATTAGGCTTTTCTGCCTTTCCTTTCCGACAAACCATTAAAGGTTGTGGGGTGTGGTTCAGTAGCAGGGAAGCTATATGTGTGTGTGTCAGGCGTTTGTTCTTTGCGATCAATTCAGTGGGAGAAAAAATAACACCTGAGATTCATGAGATTCAAATTTGGACCTCATTCCCTGTGTTACTTCATTTGTAGGCAAGACACTTGCTTCAAACTGCCACCTCTTCACTCCACAGCTGTTGTTCTGTTTACACTGATTACAGTTACTCAGTTCTCTTCTGACCATTTGTTAGACCGGATATCTCACAGGAAGGCATAATAATCTTTGCATTTGATATAGAGTCTCATCAACTCATTGAGACGAATCTAAGTGCATCAGAGAATATATTGTGAACTGAATTGACTGTATATTTTGTGGGTGAAACATGGCAGCCAATTGTCCACAGCAGTGTTCCACAAATAGTTGTGGACTGAGTGACCAAATTTTTTTTTAAGGGATTATTACCCCGAAAAAGTGATCCACCAATTGGCTAACAACTGAGCTCCTACTTACTGCTAGATAAACAGTGGCGTGTGGAATAAGGAAACTTGCCTAAGATTTCGGCCCACCCCCGGGAATTGAACACACGTCCTCTCGCTTGCAAGGCGATGCTCTAACCACTAACCTAATTGGGGAGCGATAACTGAGGTGTATTGCCCTGCTTTGCTGCAAACCCGCCTGTCATCTACTCTGATGCCCAAGGGTATGTGTCCCAGCTTCAGTAGAAACCTGTATCTTCAGTCCTGTTTTTCCAACTGATCGCAGATCACAAGAGAGGTTGGGGTGGAGAAGGCCCTTTGGCCCATTTTATCTCAATCCTTAGAGAACACCAAACCTGTCCATCACAGCACAGTGTGAAAGGTCTCAAGGGCAGATTTCAGTTATGACCGGTCCGTGTTGTTCTGATATGACATTTATCATCTACTCTAATTAGAACCACATGCTTTGCAATTTTAACCCCTTACATGCTTCCAAGATAACATTGACAGGAGGCAAAGACACACGTTGAAAGTAATGTTTATTAATAATAACAATGATATTTGGATTTGATATGGTGCCTTATCTTGTTGTCAAAAAGTCTTAAAGGGCTTCAAAGGATACACAGTAGAGTGTAGTAACTGTGTATTTTGTAAGTGAAATACTATATTTTTAAAAAGCTGCCAGAAAACTGATTGGCTTATGTGCATTTCAGACTTAATGAAGATGTTGATAGGATGCAGAAAGCACACTCTTCACAGTCAGACTTTAAACCACAGTATTCTCCCTAACATTCACCCTCCCGTGTTATGCACAGTTGCTTTGCGGTGAGATTGTTTTGTTCTGAACATTTCAAATCAATAAAGTTTGCAATGTCGTGTAAGATATCCTTGCACTTTTGGCTGGGACACCTTCTCCTTCCTTCTCCTTTCGAATAGGATCTTTAACGTCCACCTGAACTGTCAGATGGAACGACAAACTGCCAACAACAAGTGCTGCATTGTTGGACATCGTATACAACAATGCAGCACTCCCCTCCCCACCCCATTCCACCCCCCACCCCACACACACACACACACACACACTTCACTGCTTTGGAATGTCAGCCCAAACTATGAGCTGTTGAAGGTCGAATCCGCAACCTTTTGGTTCAGAGTCGAAGTGAAGAGTGCCACCAACTGAGCCAGACTGACATGTGGTTTCATATTTTGGGACTGATTATTCTTACCATTATCTCCATCACTGTACATGACTGTGAGAGAAACCAGGAAAATATAATGGGCTGAGGATTCAATTGACTATTTTGAAAAGGTTTTTGTGTATGTGTGCATGTGTATCTGTGTGTGTGTGTGTGTGTATGGATGAACAACACCTTCTGGAGGAATAAGAATGAGTCATTTAATTGAAAACCTAGATATGTTCATTTGAAACCTCCCGTTCCTTTAATTGGTGCAGATGTTCGGAGGATGAACTCCGCTGTGTAAATAGCCTGCAGGTTATTACAAGGAATNAAAAAAACTGGGTCTCTGCAGAAGGAACAGACGCATTCAAATGTGTACCTCATGTTCCTTTGTCTGGACTAACCTTGATGCATCAAATCAAATAGGAGGGAGTCATTTTAATTCACATGTGGCTTAATGTAATTCATGTTGCTTCCATTATGCAAGGACAGCGAGACGCAGTGGATCACAGATTGGCTGCCGCGTTTGCCTACAAAACAGAGTCACCATGCCCTAAACTCAACATCAGCAACAACTTGTGCAGTGCCTTTTTCACTTAGCAACCCATCACAAAGCACTTTGTAAAGCAGTGTGAAATGAGGGGAGGAGGGTATAGGTGGGGGTGGTGGACAAAGGTGCAGTCAGAGGGAGAGGTTTCTAAGATGTGATTTTAAAGCAAGGACTGAGAGAGTGACGTGGAGGGATTTAATGGAAGATGGTGTGTGAAAGATTGCCCAGGGAAACCTTGCCCACCAGAGGGGGAGCAGAGGGGGACTGGGGCTGTGAAGCAAGTCTGGTTTGTTGCAAACGTTTTCTGCAATGTTATATATAGTAGTTTGTTATATATCCTGTGCTACCATGTCTTTGCTGTATTTACCCTTTGTTTTTTTCTCTCAAAGTCCAGTTTTTGTACCAAGTTCCAGCTTTGCCTTCCAAAATGGTTCTGTGGAGACTTTAACTTGTAACATTTTCAAGAGAAACTATTTTCTTGGACTCCAAGTTTAATGGTAGATCCTAACTTTCATGCTCTTGCTCACAACCTCCTTATTTAGGGTGGTCCAACTGACACCTATTCCATTCCCCCCCATCCCTTCCCTCTATTTCATCTGGCCCACCCGCTCCCTCTATAACCCGTAAATATTGAGTTATGTTTCTAGAAGGGAGCCACAAAAATATAGCTTTATACAGCCCAAGGACATTTCTCAAATAGGGCACCTGGCCCTCAGCAGCCAAAAGGTTGGACCACCCTGACAATAATAATTCTTGCATTTGCTACAGTGCCTTTCAAATGTGGAGGATGTCTCAAAACGCTTCACAGGACATATTACAAAGTGTGGTGACTCTGTTTTGTGGGCAAACGCGGCAGCCAATCTGTGCATAGCAACGTACCACAAACAACCATAAAGTTCATGACCAATTATATTGCTAGCTTAGACACCGGGAGAGAGAAACTCCCTTCCCTTTTAGAATAGCGCTATGGGGTCTTTAACATCCACCTGAAACAGGCAGATGGGACCTCGGTTTAAAGACTACACCTCCAACAATGCAGCGCTCCCCCAAGACTGTGGGAGTTCAAAATCCCTACGTGGGGCTGAACACAACCTTCTGGTTCAAAGACGAGAGCCAGGCTCAGGAATCGAATGACTGAGGATCTTACTCCTTTCCTTATGTAATAACCATTCATTCTTTGACTTAGGTTCGAGATGCAGAAGCACTGCCAACTTCTCTGGAACTGTCATCCTCGCAGTCAGATTATTCACATTTCAAGAACGTCCAGCACATACTGTTAACAAAGGTCAGAGGCATGTTAGAGTTGTTTAATGTGAAGTTCAGGTCAACATCTTTATTTCCATTAAATCTGGCCTTTGAAGAGCATTTAGCGTTTGCTAAAGGAGCTTCTTACATCTGTTGATGGTTAGATCGTTGCACATGATTTCCCTACGTTACTAAACTCAAGAGACAATAGGCCAGGGCTCCAAAGTCATTTCTAAATTAATTTGGACCCAAAGTGAAAGCAAACCCAAGAACAAGCAGTACGCTACTTTCAGATGAACTGAGCCAGCACAACAGGAGATGACAGATTTAGGGTTACAAAGGCCAATTTCAGGACCGACACAAGGAATTATTTCTTTACCTAGAAGGTAGTTAACAACTGAAACATGGTTACCAGGAAGGGTGGTTGAGGCTAGGACGCTGGTACTTATTTTAATAGGAAGTACGGTTGATATTCTGGAAGGATGAGACCAAATAAGTAATAATAAGTTTTGGTCCAAATACGTAATAATAAGTAATAATAAATAATTGATACAGCAACCAAGGCTCCGATGGAAACCCGAACATACTGTGATTAGATAGGAATGCTGCGTATTCAGGGCTGATCCCCAGTCTTTGGGAAAGATTTCTTCTCTGTGTATGTCTGCACACCTTTTACAGAATGTCATCTTAACAAAAATACACCTTACTACTAATAATAATACAATTAGAATAATTAATCCTTACGTCTGATACAGTACCTTTCATCTCGGAAGGATGTCTCAAAGCACTTCACAGGATTTACTGTGAAATGCAGTCACTATGTATTTTTATAGCCAGCCAGTTTCCACACAACATCCCACAAACTGCCATGTAGTATGATCAATTTCATTTGTCTGATTATTGGCTGATTGTTGGGAGAGAAACTCCCTTCTCTTTTTCAACAGTGCCAAGGGATGTTTAACATCCACCTGAACAGGCAGGTGTGTGAGTGTGTGTATAGATGAACAGCACCTTCTGGAGGAATAAGAACGAGTTATTTCATTGAAAATGTCCATTATACACATCCACCAGTACACACACCTTGATTTAATGTCTTATCCAAAGGACAGCACCTTGCAACTCCCCCCCCCCCACCCCACCCCCACTCTACCCCCCATACAGGCCTAGTGTTAGCCTCATCTCCTCTCAAGGAGTTGGAAAGTCTTGAGCAGATGGAAGTCTAAATGTAAATAGTTGATATTTCTATGTACTCATAGGATGATACTGGTCTTGGCCTTGCCATCAGTGAAGACAACACCAGCAAGGGAGTTACTATCAAAAGCCTTACTGACAATGGAGCAGCAATAAAGGTAAGAAGCAAACTTGAAGCCAATAGCCACGACATTGCAAGTCCCTAGTGGAAAATGAGTGGTCTGGGGTCTTATGTTTAAACCATGGGCAAATGCAGGTCTCTTGACAATGATTTTTTGATATATGACATATATAGATATGGCATTTAATATTGAGTTGAAATGATTCAAGTATAGAGACTGTGTATTTTGCAGGCAAAGCAAATGGTTAATAACGCACGATTTACCCATGGTTTGCACATATCACATAAAATAATGTCCGTTTAGTTTATTTACAGTTAGTCATTTTGACGTATCAATTAAGGTGGGAAGTGACAGTGAGAGAGAAGAGAAAGATTGCTGCTCTGAGCTAATCAATTCGAGAAGCACAGAATGTATTACATGGTTTTGTGTTTCAAACTCTCCTCATTCACTTTACTATGGACAGCTTCTGTGTAAAGTAAAGTTCCTTAGTTTGATGGGGAGGGGTATATTGAGAAGGTAGGGTAAACATTGATTGTTGTGAGTCCACTGTTGCTGAAAGCTGCTTGAATTCAGATTAAAGAAACATTACCACTCATATCTTGTTATAATCGATCAATGCTGTGTTTAGGATGGAAGGCTCAAAGTGGGAGATCGAATCCTGGCTGTGGATGATGAGAGTGTCGTGGCACAGCCTCCGGAGAAGGTAACCATGCTCAGTGAACATGTTTCCCCTCTATGTAGTGGCTCAATCTTGCTCTCCTAGTCAGTCGGACCCTATTATACCGTGCTCCGGTAGAGAGAGTAAGTCTGTGCATAGGTAGCTCAGGCGCATATAGGAAGTGATGATGTATTTGACCACGTAATGATAACATCATCTGCAACGCTGGTGATTACATCATTGGCGATGTAATTGATGACACCAACTTAGGACATCGGGAATTGCATCATTTGGCGACTTCAGCGATGATGCCATCAGCGACATGACCTGGGCTCACAAGTGCTGACTGGCAGCCATTTTGCAACGTGACCCCTCATATTGCACTGCTTCCTCTCACAAACCAAACCACTACGCTCTAACAGAGTCAGACCGTACCGGGGGGGGGGGGAGCTGGTATAGTGTCCGCACTACACCGCTGCTCAGGCCAAATGGACAAATTCATCACAGTGTGAAAAACAATCTGCTTGGCTCGTCTTTATTTTGGAGTTCTCAATTCCAGTTCCAATTCCCTCGAGAGGAAGAAGCTAATCGGTTGTGTCCTCAGACGGGGTGAAGAGTTCTGCAGCACTGCGATCCCTTTGTGGAGGAGTTAATCACAGGCAGCTTTTCATTAAATCAACCAGACAAATCAGGAAACCGCTCCCAACAGTGCTCTTGCCCCATTTGACCTCTGAGATTACATTCATTTTCCCATTTCCTTGTTTTTTTCTACTCTCCTCTCTTGCTCTCTCTCGCTCTCACCCACGCCCGCCACCATGCCCTCTCTCTGTGCATGTGAAACAGAGGTCCCTTCATTAAGAAGTACACCTCAATGTCCTTTTTTCTTAAAAAATATTTTGTGTGTCCAATTGTTTGACTAGTTTCCTCCGCCCACTGGCATATGCCTCTCTCCTCCCAGTCTGGCCTCCCCTAGCTAAGTATGTTTTATAGCTACCAGTTGCCCATCAGTATTGCCCAATTGTCCAAGTGGCCAATTATTCAGGTGTTGAGCTTTGGCAGTGAGTGTCATGAAGTCACTCGGCTGCAGAGGGCATCACAGCCAAGCTTGACCTCCCCCCACCCGGCTGCCACACACACTCACTACCAGTAGAGGGTGCTGTAGAGAGACCGGGAAACCTGGGCTGGTGATCCCTTCCCTAACCCTGGGAATACCAGAGCCAATTCAGCCAAACGCACATACACATACACCCCTCCCTTTCCAGCCCAGACTAAGACCAGCAAAATTCAGCAGGATTTGATTGATTGCAGCTCTGTCCCCTATACCATCAGGCCTCTACATACCCATACCTCAGCATCCTTAAGGCAGTACTGGTACGGGCGCACTCCAATTCATTCTTGCAATTTATTTTGATCTCAAACACTTTTTATTGTGGAGTCTGTCTCTGGAATTTCCATGCTTAAGTGGGATACATGGAAATCTCAGCTTGGGTTCAATACTCTTAAGCTTGCTGATGAGTTTCCGCATGTGTCAGACACCTGGCTGACCAAAAGAAAATTGAAGAACATTTGTGGAAGGTTCTGAGGGAATTAAAATAAGATTGTTGCATCATTGGCAGATCATTCCTGCTCATTGCCTGAGATACAGCTGAATGTGAACTGGCTTCTCACCATATTGTAGGTCTTTTCTTTCCGAAGTCACTATAACCAGGTATATGATGTGTGTGTGTGTTTTTGTGTGCGCGCAAACATGCTTGCATCTCTGTCAGTGTTACATTCTGTGCCTTTGCAATCTTATTTTAGGCCATTAATCTCCTCAAAAAGGCAAAAGGAACCGTGAAACTGACCATCAGCTTTCAAGACAGGACACAGCAAACATCCACAGCCACTCCCCCTTCCTACCTCAACACAGACTCCAAGTTATCAGAACACAGTGAGTTCATAACAACAATAATAACAACACAACTCACATTGATATAGCGCCCCTCACGCACTTGGTCACACTTAATCTGCATAACGATCCTGAACTCATTGGACCAGATAGTCACTGATGAGAAAGCCATTGAGGGATTTAAGGAAGAGATGGATTGATTCTTGGGAAGTAGAAATATTCAAAGATCCAAACAGAATATTAACCTTGCAAGCCAAAGCCGAACAGGTAGGGTGTCCTAGCGCAACAATCAGTGGGGAAGAAAGTTGACTAAATAATATTTTCAAAGGACAAGCTACGTTAAACTGCAGCTTGTACTCCGACACACACTCTGGGGTTCCCAAACTTTGGCTCTTGCAAACCTGTACCTAATACTCGGGAACACAGTCATTACACTCTACAGTAAATCCCGTGAAACGCTTTGAGAGCGCTCCTGAAATAAAGGGCTCTGAGTCAAACTTAGACATTTTATTTAGTTCACGAAATGTCAGGTATGACCCATGGCATCTTCTGAAATTGTTTTCCGAAGGTAATATCTTGTCACCTGCTGTGGTACTGGATCCAGCAACATGTTCTGTGGTCCCAGGACAGGAAACAACCATCGAAATTTCCAAAGGATCTTCAGGCCTTGGCCTCAGCATTGTGGGGGGGAAGGATACCCTGTTGGTGAGTACAGTAAATGCCTGTGGAAGGTGAGGGACAATGGTTTTCCAGTTCAAATACAACACAGAATAGTTTCAGGAGTGTAAGTTGATGGAGATCCAATCCAATCCTACCGATCCAGCCTCTCCCATTGCTCAGCAGATTGGCTTTCAGCCATTCTGCCCCTGCTTTCTGGAACTCCATCCTGGAGTCTGTATGACTTGCTTGCTCTCTATTTCCCCTTTTTCAAGGAATATCTCAAAACTTACCTCTGTGACCATGCTTTCGCATCCCTCCCCTGCCCCCACCCGCTCCTCGGCTCCCACCCACAGCTCAGGTGCCTACGGGCACTGTGTGTGAATGAGCTTTGTGATGTCCACCCTACGTGAACATGTGTAAACTCTGTAAAAGTGAAATTTTCTTTTATTATGTGATCTCTAACACCATGCCCCCTTGCACACACACACACACATACACGCACAGACACATATTGGCTCAACTCAGATTCAATTCAGGGAATAAATTGAATGCAGACGAGCAGGCTTGTGTACTGATTAAACCAAAAGAGACTTCCAGATGTGAGGCAGGCTGAATGGCCTCCCCTTGATCCAACATCCAGATGTGCAGGGCTCTGGCAAATCTAAATGATGTTTGTGGATCTCCCTTAGGACGCGATAGTTATTCACGAGGTGTATGAGGAGGGCGCAGCTGCTAAGGACGGCAGACTCTGGGCTGGAGACCAGATCTTGGAGGTGAGTGCAGCAAATGGGCTTTATTTTACAAATGCATTGCAGCCATTGTTGTACCTCCTGGCTAAGGTGTCAGCCTGGCTCAGTTGGTAGCTCTCTCACCCCTGAATCAGAAGGTTATAGGTTCAAGCCCCCAAGTCAGGACTTTGGAACACCCTTCCTCTATCCCTCCATCTTGCGTCTTCCTTCCCCATCTTCAGGTCGTGCCTGAAGACATTCCTATTCGACCGTGCCTACGGTCACACACACACACACCCCCCTCCCTAGCTTGGTGTTGTGCTCCGCCACTGTCAAGTACTCTAGGACGCTGTCCTCCTTAAGGCGCGCTATATAAATTCAAGTTGTTGTTTTTGTCACACTCAAAACTAGTACTTCAACACACTTCTGGAAGGAGAGCTGCATTATCTGTCGGATCCGACGTCAAACTGAGGTCTTGTCTGTGCCTGTTCAGAGGAACTATTCAAAAAGAGAAGGACGTTTTTGTCTTCCAATGTCCTGGCCAACAATCCCCCAGATAAAATCACTTCACTTTGATTATGGGACATTGCTGTGCGCAAATTTACTGCCATGTTCACCTACAAAATACAGACATTGCATTTACAGTAAAATCATGCTTCGAGATGTCTCAACAATGTGGTAACGAGTAATGCCAAATGTAAGGATTATTATGAGGATTTGATCAGGCTTAATTTGGAAGCCAGTTTTCCTCAGATTTTCAAATGACCATGTGGGAAAACCAACTTGGAAAATCGAGTCTACTTTGGAAACTGTTTACTTGTAAAATAATAATGATAATAATAATCCTTGCATTTGATATGGCGTCTTATCACGTCATTGAAATGCCTCAAAGCTCTTCACAGAACATACTGTAATGTGAATTGACTGTATTTTGGGGCAAACTGCAGCAAACGGTTGCACCAGCACAAACAGTCGTGGATTGAGTCACCATTTTTTCATGGAGAGATTATTACCCTGAAAGTGACCCAGCAATTACCTAACAACGAGGTTCCTACTTACTGGTAGATAAATAGAGACATGTTGAGTAAGATAACTTGCCTAAGGTTTCGCCCTGCCCAGGAATCGAACTGAGCTACAGGTATCCACATTTCTTACTTTTTAGGAAACTGCAGAAAACCAGCTTCCAAATTAAGGTCTAAATTCAAAGAATTTTGCAGAATTCAGTGCCATGTTAAATTTCAAGACAAAACCGGCTCCCGGGTTGAGATTAGGTGTTTGGCACACAGCGTTTATAAGTTCATGAAGTATTAGAGCTGACTTAGTATTTATTAAACTGCTGGAGGATCATTAGTATGAGGAAATTGTCTGTGAGTGCTGTTAACACGAGGTTTCTGTCAGAGAAGGCAGACGTTTTCAATTACTGTTAGACATCTTTTAGCCTTCACCTTTTATATCTCTCCAGAACTCATCCATCACCTGAACTGCCCTTTGACATGCTATTGTTCTTCTGCAAGATTTAGACATAGAATTTCCTTTCATCGTTATAAACGAATGTGTTTTGACCAGCAAAGACATCTTGTAGAATAGCAGATTTCCAGGGAGGATTGGTAGGGGATGGGGGGCTGGGGTTGGTAAGGAGCTGAGCTGGCTCCAGTGTAACAGGCTTGGCAACGGAATGTCGGAATCGAGCCCATCCTCTTCAGTGATCTCTCTCGGCTACCCATTACACTGCGGGCATAGATTCTTCCCACTTGGGTCCTGCTCACCGTGCAAGCCAAATGGGTAGGATGGGCCTGGCTGGACAAGCAGAGGAGGTTTGCTTGACAATGCTCTCAATGGTAAGAGCGCTATATGAATGCAAGTTGCGCTTTTTGTTCAACTCCAAAAGTTACCCCAACACGGAGCCAGCTGGGCGGCGGCAACAGGTAGTGGGGTGAGAGGTGAGCAGGTCGGAGAGGTAGGGAGGTGCCAGGGCATGAAAGGATTTGAAAATGAGTGAGAGGATCTTGAAATCGACCTGTTCAGTAATTGGAAGACAGTGGAGCCTGACAAGGGCTGGTGTGGTGGGGATATAGAGCTTTGTGCAGGTAACTATCTGGGCGGCGGAGTTTTTAATTAATTTAATTTTGTGTATGGTGGAGGTGGGGAGACCAGCGAGGAGGGCGTTGGAATAGTCCAGCCGAGAAGTGATGAACTCATGGATGAGGCATTGGTTGTGAGGTACTGGTCAGGGAATGTTGTGTGTAGAAAGGAAAGCTGGGGATTAAACCTGACCCTAAGTTGGGCATGGGTTCGGTGAATCTGATGGAGAACCAATGGAGGTTGAGGAGTTCAGACCCGCAGGAGAGAAGCTGATGACCAGAGCCAAAGAGTCTGGCTTCCGTCTTCCCGAAACACACTCTGAGATCCAAAGCCTTTGTTTCTTGGGCGAGTGAGAGATGAGCGTGTTAGATCCCCGTAGCAGCAGAACTGCCCCTGAGATATTGCACCGGGCAGGAGCACGGAAATCCAAGGTAGGCATTGATGCCACTTAACCCCTTCCAGTGAGGGAGGAGTTCAAGTTAACCCTTCGCGAATTGAATTTCTGCAATTGCTGCCTTGCACGTTTGTGCCGTGTGCCGATCGGAGCAGTAAATTTACAAGGCGCGATTCATTACGAAGTTGTTTTGTTGTAAATCTCGGGTGCTGAAAGCCACGGTGAAGCAAGTCACAGTGTTGATGCTGGCATTAGCAACATTGCACTGGTGAAGTGTGCCATCTAATGGATTCCTGTTGAGCTGCTTCCTCTGCTGTTATCTGGTCCGTGTGATGAATAGGATAGTTGACAACAATTGTTGTGTTGGATTTTAAGGGAGGGTGACTTAGGGGACTCTCTGCCCCACAGGTAAACAGGATCGATTTAAGGAATGCAACTCACGAGGAAGCCATCATGGCGCTACGTCAGACGCCGCAGAAAGTGCGTCTCATTGTCTTCAGGGATGAGGCTCAGTACAAGGACGAGGAGAACCTGGATGTCTTTGTGGTGGATCTTCAGAAGAAGGTCGGCCGAGGGCTGGGGCTGAGCATCGTAGGAAAGAGGTGAGAACGCCCAGCATGAGGTCACCATGCTGTACTGAGGCCGGAACTGAGGTACACACTCTAACACAGATACAGAGAAACAGAGACACACACACACACACACACACACACTTACAGTGAAGCGCTTTGAGATATCTTCCTGGCGTGAAAGGCCTATATGAACTGCAATGATTCTCAGTATTGTTATTATTATCCCACGCCAGGCACCGAGTGTATTGAACGAAGACTGAGCTTTTCCTACCGGAAAAGGCAACTTTGAACTTGAGTTCCTGTCCTTTAACCCCCTCCTCTCCCCCCCCCAATAAACCAATCAACCCTCTGAGGTCACCTGATCAGATCCGAGCAGCTTGCTCAAATGTACCACTGGGAATAGCTTTCCCACTTCCTCGCTTAGACAGGAAATGGTGGAAAGAGACGCAAAGAGAAGTAAATGCCGGTTAAGTGATTTCCTGCAGGTAATTTACAGCGTGAGGGATATTAGAATGTCCATCTCTCTTTCTCTCTCTCTCTGCCTCTCTATCTCCCTCTGTTTGTCTCTAATTCTCTTCCTCTTTGATAGGAATGGAACGGGAGTCTTCATCTCAGACATTGTTAAAGGGGGAGCGGCTGAACTGGATGGGCGGTTGATGCAGGGCGACCAGATCCTGTCCGTGAACGGGGAGGACGTGCGCAACGCCTCCCAGGAGACGGTGGCGACAATACTGAAGGTGAACTGAGAGGGGAGGTGGGGACAACAGCAACAACGATGACTTGCATTTACACAGCGCCGCTCACCCAGGGCAGCGTCCCAGAGCGCTTAACAGTGGCGGAGCAGGACGCCGAGCTGGTGGGAGGGGAGAGGTGACCGTAGGCATGGTCAAAGATGAAGGTCTTCAAGCGTGACCTGAAGATGAGGAAGTAGGGGAGCAAGGCGGAGGGATAGAGGGAGAGAGTTCTAGAGTTTCGGGGCATAGTGGCTGAAAGCGCGGCCACCGATGGTGGAACACAGGGCACGAGAGACAAGCAGGAGACTGGAGCCAGCCGAGGGGACAGCTGGCTATCATCTTCAAAGTAAGGAGAGGGAAGTGGTTTGAGGGTACTGTGCTGCCCTGTGCCCCAAGCTGACTGGCTTTGTCTCCCCTCCCCACAGTGTGCACAGGGCCGGGTGCAGCTGGAGGTCGGGCGGCTGAAGGCAGCGTCATGGATTTCATCACGAAGAACATCGCAGGGCAGTCAGGTCAGCCACTGAGGGATCGCCCAACTCCACTGCCTGCCCGCCTGCCCGCCCAGAAAGAAGTCCCACCTGGGTCTAAGGTTTACTCGTTTACCGAGCAGTCCGTCTGTTCGTCCATCCAGAATTTGGCAAGTTTGCCGAGTTGGATGAATAACTTTGAAGTTGTTTTTTTTAAAAAAGTAGCTTAAAGGGAAAATAAACAGCTTTGAAATTCAGGCTGTTGTTTAAGGCCAAATTCTGGATGTTCTAAACTGCTCATAAATGGAGTAAATCAGGACCTGGGGCAGATATAAAGAGAGAGAGAGAGAGACACATACACACATGCACACACACACATGCACACACACAAAAACAACAACAACTTGCATTTATATAGCACTCTCCATGCTTGGCAGCATCTCAGAGCACTTAATAATGGTGGAGCCCGAAGTCAGGGGGAGGGGGAAGGTGACCGTAGGTGCGGTCGAAGAGGAAGGTGTTCAGGCACGACCTGAAGATGGGGAAAGAGGGGATGAAGCCGAGGGGTTAAGGGATTGAGTTCCACAGCTTTGGGGGTGTAGTGGCTGAAGAGTGATGATCTTGAAGTGGATCTGCTCTGTGACAGGGAGCCAGAGGGAGCCAGTGGAGTTTGGCAAGGACTGCGGTAATCGGGGTACGGAGCTTGGTGAGGATGAGAATGTGGGCGGCAGAGTTTTGGATGAGTTGAATTTTGTGAATAATGGAGGAGGGGAGACCATGAGGAGAGCGTTAGCGTAGACCAGCCGAGAGGTGACGAACGCACCTAGAATACATAGACTTCCAAATGAAAGAGTTACACACAGATACAGAAGAAAGACACGCGCGCCCAACACACACACAGAAACAGACAGAGAGACACACACACACAGATACTGAGAACAACAGAAAGGGACATAAACACACACCGACACATGAGAGAGAGGGGGGAGCCATGCACCCACACACACACACAGATACAGAGATATGCAGAGAGAGAAACACATACACACACATTCACAAGAGAGAGACAAGCACAAGTGAGAGAGACACACCTACAAACACACACGCACACACACAGATCGAGGGATATGCAGAGAGAAACACACACAGGAGAGAGAGATACACACACACACAAGTTCAGAGATACACTTACATACACACACACACAGAGGCTAATGTACATAATCTCAGAGCTGCTGTATAGCCATATTAAGCTCTCTACTTATTGGTAAACTGATCAGCGAGCTAGTCATTCGTAAGGTTGACTTGAATGGGGTCACAGTTTGGCTGTGCAACTCGCTGTCTTTCCCGTTCAGAGATTACCATCAGATTGTGTGTTATTTTGTTTTCAATCCTGGTCCAGATTAGCCAGACGAGTGGGAACACCAACACTCCGCCTTTCGGCTCCGTCGGGGCCTCTTCCCACGGCTTCGGCAACGGCAACAGCAAGCGCAGCTCAGGGGAAGTCTCCAAGTGGGATTCAGGTAACTGGGGCCGAGCTGAGTGAACCCCCCCCCCGCCCACTCCTCCCCCCCATCTCCTCCCCCACCCTTCAGGTCACCGCAGCATATCTCCCATCAGTCGCAATGACTTGCTTTGACTACCGTCAGGATTCCATATGTTTGAATACATCACGTTATTAAACACTTCCCTCCCCCTCAAACCCCCTCCCCCACCCCACACCCCCAGAACTGTTTCCTTATCGTCCAACTCCATTGACAAACGGATCAGATTCAAGATCCTCGCCCTGACCTTTGACCCTCTCCACCATCGGCAGACGAGCTTTTAACCAATCTGCCCCCGCTCTCAGGACCCCCATTCTGGAGTCCCTCTGCATTGCTCCCACTCCCCCCAGCTTTAAAGTCGACCTTAAGACCTACATTTTCAACTCCAGTCTCGGTCGCCGTTCCTCTGTTTCCCCCCCACTCCCTCCCCCTGCGCCCCTCCAGCTCTCGGTACCTCCATTCCGTAGACCCTCCAGTTTGGGTGACCACCCAGTTGCGCAAAGTGCTCTGAGACGTGCTCCCGACATAAAAGGCGCTGTATAAACGCAAACTGTTGTTGGCTTTGAAACCATTGATAATAATAATAACACTTACATTTGATACAGCCCCTTGTCACGTTGTTGAGACGTCTCAAAGCGTTTCACAGAATATATTGTAAAGTGAAGTGACTGTGTATTTTGTGGGCGAAACGCAGCAGCCAATTGCGCGCAATGTTGTGGAAGTGAACTGACAAATGTGTGCTCAATAATCCTTAGATTTGAACTCGCTCCCTCCTTTGCCTCCTTCAAAGCCCGTCTCAAGACTCCTCTAAGACCGTGCCTTCGGCCACCCTCCTATCTCTACTCTCCCTGCCCTCCCAATCCCCAGCTCAGATCCAAATCCCTGACTGTCCAGCGCCTTGGGACATCCTCCCGATGTGAAAGGCTCTGTGTAAATGTCATTTTGTATTGTATTTGGAATCAGTTGTTTCAAAGCCAACAACAATTGGCTGGGGCTGGAGCTGCGCTTGGCTTCCGCCTGAAACTGTTACCTTGACTATCTCGCTACCGAGCCTTAATGTACGTGTCTGCCTTTGTCAGGTGCCGATACGGGAATACGCACCGTGGAAATCATCAGGGTGAGTAATCGGTGTGTGTGTTTTTAGTGAGTTCCTCTTGGGAAGTTAGTGCATCCACACAGCAACTTATTTGTAGCAAAAAAACAACGCAGAGATTTTCTAGTGCACTTAAGGTAACGGAATCAACAGCGCGATTGAGAGATTCATTTGCCAGAAGCTCTCGACCCAAAGTTGCAGCTAATTTCATGGGGAGAAATCCCACCCGAGCCCAGACCTGCTCTGTGTTTTGTAGTGTTTCAGGGTGGCTAGAGTTTGGCATTCTGTTGGATTCAGCCTCAACATTCACGCGTTTTTCCCTTCACTCTTAAAAGAAATTTGCGGAGAAAACTGAGTCACAGTCCAGGCTGAGATCAGCGGTTTGCCAAACTCCAGACGGTTTGGAACGCTTTGGTTTAATCTGAAAGATGGCTCACTCCACCTCTCCCCACGACTGTGAGAGTTCTCGCCCCCAACACTCCCCCACTGCCTCAGTACTGCACTGGACTGTCAGCCTAGACTGTGAGCTCAGGCTGGAACCTCAACCCTCCTGACACAGAGACAAGGGTGTGGGTGGTCAAGGCAATCGGGGTTAATACGGGTGGTGGGGGTGGGGGGGGTGCAAGGCACGGGTGTGTTTGGGGGGCACAGTGCTTTGATGGTTTTAAGCGACAGCTTTTTTGCTCAATGTGAGAGAGTCCCAACTATCGACGGCAACAATTTACATTTATCCGGTGCCTTTCGCGTGGGAATGAAGGACGTCCCAAGGCACTGGACAGTTAAGGGCTATACACCTGAGCTGATCATTCGTCTTTGTTACATTCCCCCCCCTCCCCTACCCCCCTGTTTCTCCCCCCAGGGACCGAGTGATGCACTGGGGATCAGCATCGCTGGAGGCAAAGGCAGCCCGCTAGGTGACGTGCCCATCTTCATTGCCATGATCCAAGCCAGTGGAGTGGCTGCACGTACACACAGGCTGAAGGTGAGGCACAGAGACAGCTTGTCTTGCGCTTGTTACACCCCGTGACTTGTTCTCGATTAATAATAATAATAATAATAACCCTTGCATTTGATATAGTGCTTTTCACGTCGGGAGGACGTCCCAAAGCGCATCACAGAACACACTGTAAAGTGAATTGACTGTATATTTGTGGGCGAACGCGGCAGCCAATTGCGCACAGCAATGTCCCACAAACAGTCGTAGATTGAAAATGACCAATTTATTATTGTTTTTGGTTTTGGAGGATTATTATTAGGCTCTGTGTGGAGTAAAGAAACTTGCCCAAGGTTTCGCCTGGAATTGAACTCAGGTCTCTTGCTTGTAAAGCGAGTGCTCTAACCACACAGAGAGTCTGTGCCAAGGTTCCCACCTCTCAGGTGACGCTGCAGTGACCCTCCCTAATCATGTTCGCATTGACAAAGCCCTTTTTCACGTCAGGAGCACGTCTCAAAGCACTTCACAGGACATTGTTTGGTGACTGTATTTCGTAGGCTGACGAGGCAGTCAATTTGCGCACACGTACATCCCCAAATACAGCCTTGAAGCGAAGGACTGATTTCATCTGGGGGATTATCCACCAGGACACCGAGAGAGAGAGAAACTCCCTTCTCTTTTCGTGTTTATGCACTGAAACACAACTGGTTACAAACTTACCTCGATTTAGTTGCTGTTAGTTCAGAAAATGTTGGGGTCTGTTTTGATCTATTTTCTTAACAGTTCAATCAATAAATAATATTTAATAATTTAGTCCAAACCCTGACTGTTTGTGGGACATTGCTGTGTCCATTTGGTTGCCATGTTTCCCCACGAAATACACAGTCAATTCACTTCACAATATATCCTGTGAAACGCTTTGAGAGGTGATAAGCGCTATATCAAATTCAAGGATGATTATTATTATTATTATAGGGTGCCGTATCAATTGCAAGGATTTTTATAGCTTCATACTTGGGAATCCTGTTACATATTTTTATTGAGCTTCCTTCCCAGGAGTAGACTGCTTCCGGGCTGAGGTTGCTACTGACATGCTTCCCTGTGACTTGGAAGGAAAAAAAAACATTTACAAGACTCGGGTTCCGTATTAAGGAAATGCCGTTGAGACACAGCACAAAGTTAGACGTGCAGAATTCTGCTGCTTTCCCAACCAAATCGTCAAAATATTGGAGAGCATAGTAAAGTTAGGATTCCTGTAGAGTAGTGGCGTTCGACTCGCAAATGAGAAGACCCGGGTTTGATTCCTGGCCGTCGGCAGGCTTTGAGCCATCTCGATGCCATGATAAGGCGCTATATCAAACACAAGGATTATTATTATTATTATTAAAGTGAACCTGAACTTGTTTTATTAACTTGATGGGAAAGAATACTGTACCACATTCATTGATTCATTCATTGATTCATTCCTTCAGTGTTAACTTTCAGCATTGAAATTAATTTTTCCTTACAATTAATTAATTAATTAAATAATTAATTATTTTTTTAAAATTCTGTTTGCCTCTCTCTCGTTGTGATGCTAGGTTGGGGATCGGATTGTGAGTATTAATGGGCAACCCCTGGACGGGCTGTCTCACACAGAAGCGGTTAATCTGCTGAAGAATGCCTACGGAAGCATTGTCCTTCAGGTATTGAGATAAAGGCAGTGGCAAGCTGCTCGCGGGAGATAATTCTCGTTCAAAAGGCAGCCGAGTGTTGCTGTCAAACGCGATTGGGTGGCAGAGGAACAAGCGGTCTGGCTCATGCACTCATCACCCACCCCACCAACACCACCACCACCACCAGCCAGGATTTAACGCTGTTTAGATTGGCCGCTATCTAGTTAGCCCAGTGACACCTGTGCAGCCACCTTAACAAGGAACCAGTGTGAACTCTTAACAAGACAACAATAGCACGTGGACAGTAATCCCCCCTGCTCTCCGCCTGCCCCTCTTCATTCCTTTCCTGTGATGTTTTTATTACTTTACATTGACATCGAAAGGTCACAGTCACCAATCAGAGATGTAATGGACGAGAGAAGGGGCAGCGACATGGGGGAAAATCTCCCCACATAATTGTACCCCCTAAGCCCCTCATCCAAGCTTCCCTTTCTGAATACACTCGGTACACCCTACGATATAATAAATTAGGAATGTCAATTTTCTCTCCTTGCATCTTGCTCTTACAGTTGTGTTACATTCACCCATCGTTCTTTCCCCTCAAAGACCGAGCAGATCAAAGCTGTGTTTTTTTTTAAAACTCTCCCAATTCCTCATCTTCTGTGGGTTTATGATGTTTTCTTCTCTCTCTCTCTCTCTCTCTCTCTCTCTGAACTTTTTAAACCATATTGAAAATGGGTAACCGAATACCAACGTGTAAAAACAAATCTCGCCATTCGATTACAGAGACGTTTGATTTGAACGAGTGTAGTTACTATGTGTTTTGTGAGTAAGCGCACCAGTCAATTTGTCCACAGTAATGTTCCACAAACAGCCATGAAATGAATGACCAATTTGATCTGGAAGTTTTTCAGTCAGAATACTGAGAAATTCTCCTCTCTGTTCGCATAACACCTCAGGGTTGAAAGATGGCGGGGGGTGGGGTGGCAGAAGCAAGTAAAAATGACTAAATAGATTGACTGTCAAGCGCTCTGAGATGCTACCCTGCGTGAGAGGCTCTATATAAATGCAAGTTGTTGTTGTTGTATTGCTCTTTCAAAGAGGCAGCACAGACACGGTGGGCTGAATGGCCTTCTTCTGGGTTGTAAATCTCTGTGGTTCTATGGAGACGGATGGAATTTACAATCAAGAAAAAGGGTAACAATAGTAATAATAATAATAATTCCTGCATTTGATTTGGCACCTTATCACGTCATCGAGACGTCTCAAGGCGCTTCACAGAATATGCTGTAAAGTGGAGTGACTGGTGTATCTTGTGGGCAAAACGCGGCAGCCAATTACACACAGCGCTGTGGAGTTGAACTGACAAAGGTGGTTTGGGGATAGAACGTTGTAACATGGCCAAAAATGTCCAGCTGTTACCACGAACAGCTACGCAAAGCAAACTGTAGGAAGCTCTGAGATACAGGGTCCCAGCGAGTGCAGAGTCAGGGCCTCAGTGTTCGTGCCCGCCAGGCTGGGATCACAGCGTGGAGGCTGCCAGGGATTTACAACATTTTCCCGCAATTGTGTTGCAATGTAGCGTAGTTCCGGGCCTAATCCAGAGTAGCGTGTCATTAGTCACTGGCGTGTGTTTGTTATCCGCTCTGCAGCCCTGTTCTGAACCACAAGGTCAGATAATTGCATTCGTTCATGCAAATGGGCGAAATGTAGGTTGATTATCTGCCTGTCTTCAGTAGGATGTTAAAAGACTTCAGCAAGGCTGTTTGCTGAGGAAAGATTAAGGTCTCACGGGAACAATTACCACCCTCTTAAACCCCAGTGTCTGTAGGCTTTCTGGCTCATTCCGTGATTTAATCTGTCTCTATAGCAGGTGTAGTAATGAGATAAAGGAAAGCTGAGGGTGTTTATTGACTGCTTTATGTACAAACCACCAACAGATCGACTAATATGACTGGGCAGCACAACTGGCAGGAAATTTTACCCTTTACGCACTGGTGGCTTTCCTCCTGTGCTTTTCTGCCTCAAGCCGTACGTTTCACAACCATCTGCTAAGTGCTGGAGATGCAAACATTCTCCAATCCACATTTTGCTGCCCACCAGCCTCCTGCACATCCCTCCTCTCAGACCCTTTGTTATGGTGCTATTATTTAGGTTGCAATTTTATTTGTACCGTTTGATGGCTTTTTTTGGGGGGGAAATGATGTAATTATATATAAAGTACAAATGGTGGGTTAGGCTGGAAAGCCATGCGGGGTCGAGGAGGTCAGCTTGCCTCTCGCCCCTGGGACAGAGGTGGTGGGTTCAAGCCCCACATCAGCACCTGAGCTCAGGATCGAGGTGGGGGGAGAGAGAGCACTGCATTCTCAGAGATGCCGTCCTTCGGGTGAGATGTTAAAGCGAGCTTCCCAGTCTGTGCCTGTTCGGGTGGAGGTCAAAGATACCACACGCTATTCGAAAGCAGAAGGGAGTTTAGATTCTCTCTCCTGGTGTCCTGTCTAATCCCCCAGATACAATCTGTCATTCACTGCATGGCTATTTGTGGGAGCTTGCTGTGAGCAAATTGGCTGCTGCATCCATTTACACTTTCCATTTCCAATGGTGAAGCACTTTCAGGTTCATGTGTTAATGGGTTAAAAGCAAAGGCAAGGATTATTTATTATTAACAGCAGTTATATTAAACAGAGAAGGTTCACTTGCTGCAGGCTGCTTACTGCAATTGATGGATCTGGGAGTGCGAATGACAGGAATCCTGGACTGAGACAAGTGAACTAATCACAGTCAGTGTGTTTAAGTAGTGGGAAGCACTGGGATTCAAACCCCACTGCTCCTACCACCGGAGCGCTCAAATAGCACTTATTTTACGCTATGTAGTTTTTTAACCAGGGAGTTCCTTTTACCAACAATCCACCTAGTCAGTTGTCATACGACCAAGTGGTGACTATCTTCCTCGTAAGTGGGGTATTCTAGGAGCTGAACTGGCTCCAAAGTGACGTGTTTATCAATGGAATGTCAGAATCGAGTCAGTCCTCTGTGACAATCTCTAGTCCAGTTCCTGAAACAGCCAGATCCGTAGTATTGCAGGGCACTCACTGCTGATGACAGCCCAGCCCAGCTCAGCCTGGCTCATCGTCAGGATTTGGAAGGCTAGACCAGTCACTGAGGGCAGGGATTCACCTCACTCAGCTCCTGTTAACTCAGGAGTTAATGACAACAACAACTTGCAATTATATAGCACCTTTCACACCGGCCGGCATCTTGGAGCGCTGAACAGTGGCAGAGGCCGATGATTTCATGGCTGTTTCTGTTCGTTTTGACCTGCAGGTGATAGCCGACACCAACATTACTGCAATCGCAAGTCAGCTCGAGAATATCTCACCTGGGCCCAACTTGAGCTCCCCGTCCGACGTCCAGACAGAAGAGACAGAGTGAGTGTGGGTCAGCATGTGTGTCTGTCTGCGTGTGTGCGGAGCAACATAAGAATTGCAAGATGAAAGAAGACCAAGGTTCATCCAGTTCATCTTTCACCCTCCTGGCTTGACATGTTGTGTCCCAAACTACGTATATAAACACTATCCCAAGATATTATTTTCCAAAAGAAAAATCTATTTAATTTGCTTTCGAAAAAAATCAGCACGTGTGAGAGGTTACGAATGAACTGTTTTATTCTTTTATCGTTGCAGACCTCCGCAGTACAAAATCATCATGTTAGAGAAGGGTCTGGATGGTTTAGGGTTCAGTATTGTGGGAGGATTTGGAAGCCCCCACGGAGATTTGCCGATATACGTAAAGACTGTGTTCAGTAAGGTATCTATCCAGATTCATTGTCAATGGCTTTGCTTTTACTCGTGCATTCCACCAGAGGGAAGCAGTGGTATTCGCTGCAGATGTTACTGTCTTCAATGCAATAACTGCTCAGGTTTAGCATTCATTACGTTCTCTGAGTTGTCTTCTCTCGCGTTCGTTCACTCCTCGACAAATAACGCTGTTGATGGTTTGTGGTGATCTACCTGTTGAGGCGTACGTTGTACATCCCGGGACCCTCCTCGATAAAGAGTATGTTTCTCCTGGTGTCCTGGCCAACAATCACCCCGGATACAATCAGTCACTGACTTCATGGCTGTTTGTGGGACTTTCCAGTGCCCAAATTGGCTGCCGAGATCACTCACAAAGTACACAGTCACTACACTTTACAGTAAATTCTACAAAGTGCTTTGAGACGTGCTCCTGACTTTAAAGATGCAATATCGAATGAAAGGATTGTTATTATAATTATTATTAATAAATCAGAAAGCCCTTCACAGAGAGATGGCACAGGCACAATGTGCCCGATGAATCTCCCTCAGTGCTGGAAACATCCTCTCGCTGTCAGCTAAAAGTGAGAATGCAGTTGGTCTGCTCGTTCCTCACTCCCTCCTTCCCATCACTATGGAGTCCTGTAGCTCAGTGGTTAGAGCACTCGCCTCACAAGTGAGAGACCTGAGTTCGATTCCCGGGTCAAGGCAAAACCTTAGGCAAGTTTCCTTACACCACACACACTCCTCTGTTTATCCAGCAGTAAGTAGGAACCAGGTTGTTAGTCGATTGGTGGATTGCTAATTGGGAGTAATATTCCCTCAAAAAAAATGCGGTCACTTAATCCACGGCTGTTTGTGGGACACTGCAGTGCACAATTGGCTGCTGCGTCTCACCCACAAAATATAGTCATTTCATGTTAGAATATATCCTGTGAAGGGCTTTGAGATGCCTCAACGAGGTGATAAGGAACGATATCAAATGCAAGGATTATTATGATTATTGTTAAGCAGGGCTGATCGCGAGTCAGTTGTATATTGTTTTTCCCTAGGGAGCCGCGGCAGATGACGGCAGATTGAAGCGAGGTGACCAGGTGTTAGCCGTGAATGGGGAGAGTCTGGAGGGCGTCACTCACGAGCAGGCGGTGGCTATCCTCAAACGCCAAAAAGGGACTGTGACTTTAACAGTGTTGTCGTGAGTTCGGTCACGTGGGTGCAAGGAGATGTGGGGGGTTGGGGGGGGGCGCGGTGTGGGAGTGGGGGGCGCAGTGTGGGGGGTGGGGGGAGCGTTGTGGTTGGTCAGGAACCTCTGCTTAAATTCGTCCAGAACACAGTGGGGTCCAAAATGCGACGTTTCTACATAAAATTCCCGTTCACCGGCAGCTCCTGTCGGAACAGAGTTCCTTCCCGCGGGTCAGTGTGACGTAATTCCTGTTAGCGGACGGAAGGAGCCCCCAAACAATCTCCCCCCGTCCCCCCACCACACACCCCATCCATCCCCCATCCACTTCCTTGCATAAGAAACACCGCAAATTAGGCCCAAAATATCACAACCCCAGAAGCAGCAAAGCCAACGTTTTCGACAGTTGTGATTTCAGCAAAATGGTGATCTGATCATTCTTCTGTATTTTGTGGCAGCCAAACTCTGTATGTTACTGATGGCCTGTTGGTACGGTGTGTGGTGGAGGAGTGGGGGAGGAGAAGTGTACTGAAGTTATTTGCTGTGTGTGTCAATCACTGTGCTTTTTGACTTGCGAAAAACTGCTTATTAGTTCTACAAACGCAGCTTCTCAAAGCAATCTTTTACTCACCAAGTGCTTTCATATTTAAAGCATATCATTATAGAAGATTGTCAGTCTTTCTGGATCGAGAGTGCCTAAGCTTTAACTGGATACGCAATGTTCTAGCTTTGTAAATGAGTCGTGTGAAATACTCACCACCGGTCGGAGTTTAACCTTATTCTGCTTTTTATTAATGATATTTTAAACCTCTTCATTGGTCTGTGTGTTTTATAACCATTTTTAATTTAATTTTGATATAGTGTGTTTTTTGTAAAAATATAAGAATTTCCGTCATTATTAATAATTCCACTCGATATAACGCCTCATATCGGTGAGACGGCACAAAGCCCTTTCATGGGATTAGACTGTATAGTGTAGTGACTGCATATTTTGCAGGCGGAAGGATTCAGGTGTGCTAGCATTTTGCGTGGCTTAAAATTTAGCGGCTCGCGGAAAACAAACAAATAAAAATTCTCCTCCCCCTTCCCCTCTCAAAAAAAAGACTATGCCAAATATCGTGCTTCTTCTCATTTACCGAAGAAAAAAACAGAATAAAGTTAAGTTCTCTGCGTGTTTGACTGTCATGTTGCCAGGATCTGTCTGTGGGTCATGCTCTCATCACCTTGTGACCCGCCCCAATGTCTCCTTGACTCTTCCCAAACTTTGATTAGCCAGAATATATTTGTTGTACCTTCACCCAGAACTTTCAGTTTATAGTTTTTGAGAAATAATGGTAAAACTATATATATATATTAGAGAGATAAAATATAAAATGCTGGTCCAATTTAATTGCACAGTGATTTTTATTTCTTTCCATTGTGTTTTTAATTTGATGTGAAACCGATAGCAACTACTGTGTGTGGCGGAGAAATAAGGTGTGTGTCCCTGGTGGAATTCAGGTGGCAGAATAAAACACTACCTGTTTGAATTCAACTCGTCTTGTTGTCTTGAAAAAGGGGCAGCCTGGAAATACTCGAGGCCTGTAAGCCTATTGTTTAGAGCACTCGCCTCGTAGTTCGATTCCCATGTGTCAGTTTCCTTACTTCACACGCCTGTTTATCTGGCAGTAAGTTGGAATTTGGTTATCAGTTACTTTCCAGGAGTAATCATCTCTTCAAAAAAATATATAATAGTAATAATTTAGTCACTCAATCCCTGACTGTTTGTGGGACTGCTGTGCGCCATTGACTGCCACGTTTCGCCCACAAAGTAAACCAGTCACTCCACTTCACAGTATATTCTGTGAAGTGCCTTGAGACGTCTCTAAGACGTGATAAGGCACGACATCAAATTAGCATTATTATTATTAGCTTAGCATTATTATAACCATCCACTTCTGATGTTTTGTGCCACACTCCTCCCTCTTGTAACATTGCCCCAATGTCGGAAGAAACAAAAAAGAGTAAAGTTAAATTTGCTGCATGTTTGTTTGTCCTGTTGCCTGATCACAGCGACAGTCCAGCACGCACCCTCCCACTCACGTCACAATGCTGCGTTCGATGCCAGCACTGGCCCAGCTCTTACCTGTGATGAATCATGTTTCTGTGAGGCTACGAGAGCTCAGCTCACACCCCAGAGAGAAAGAGAAACACTTTATCTTTCTCCTGAATGTCCCTAATTGTTTCACACCCCACACACACACACACTTCCACCATAGGTCAAGTACAAAATGATTAAGAGCAAGGTGTGGTCCAACCCATCGTGAGCCATTAATCAGCCGGCTTCGGTCACAGTAAATTATCCGTTCCAGCAATCCTTCACCCGGCTTCTCTTCATTTCTACAAGGGCAATATTCCATTGTGTCTCGGATATAGCTTTAACTTTGTAACTTCTTAAATCACAACGAAACCAAAGTGTACGTGCGGGCATTCACTTTGTTGGCCAAAAGAGCAGAACGTTCAGAACACCCTTGGCTCTCTGCCGGAGCTCTCCCCCTCATTCCATTTTGATTCCCTCCAGAACACACGCCACACCCACCATTCTCCCATCACACCATCGAGCTGTTTTTTTTTCAAATCAGTCCCAGTGCCAGGAGTTCTGAATCAGTTGCAGTTTGTGGGTGTGTAGTGGAGCTGGGGAGACTGGTGAAGAGGGCATTGGAGTAGTCAAGGCAGGAGGTGACTAAGACACGGACAAAGGTTTCGGACCTTTTGGCACCAACAACAATGACTACAGATTACATTTGTAAAATGCCTTTCACGTCAGGAGGACGTCCCAAGGCACCAGACGTCTTGTCTCGTATCATTGGTGAACCTTTGAGCTGTTGGTGTTTCTCGCACTCAGATTCTCAGCCACATGGGCTCGACATTACACTGATACACAGAGAACTATTATGTTCACCAAAACCGGTGATAACGCAGAGCTCTTGGTGTCATTGCCATGAACTAAATGAGAATTTTTTTTAAATCAATGAGATAGATTCTTTTAAAAGACTGTGGTCTTTCAGTGTAGTGCTGGGCTTAATAAAAAATAATATAATCATTTGCACAATTAATTTGTATCATTAATATAAATGCTGGGTGAGTGTTGTATTGTTGGAGGCATTATCTTTCAAGTGAGATATTACTCAGTTTCATCTTGCCTGTGCCTGTTCAAGTCGGACGTTACAGTTCCTATGGGGGGGAGGGTAAACAGAGGAGAGAATTTTCTTTTAATTAAATTAATTACACTAATTCTTTATAAAGTTTCCTTAACCCTCTCTCCAATAATAATTATCCTTATATTTGATTCAGTGCCTTTCACATTAGGAGGACCTCTCAAAGTGCTTCAGAGGATATGCTGTAAAGTGGAGTGAGTGGTGTATTTTGTAGGTGGATGTGGCAGTCAATTTGCATGCAGCAACGAAGTGAAAGACCAAACTTATCCTGGGGATTGTTGGCCAGGACACCTTAGAAAAATTGTGGATGTTTTAACATCCATCTGAACAGGCACAGACCTCTGCATTAACATCTCATCCAAAAGGCAATGTAACACTGCACTGGGGTGCCAGCGTGGCCTTGACTATGAGTTATCAGGAAAGGTGGTTGAGGCCAGGACACTGGGACTCAATTAAAAAAAACAGCTTGATATTATGATGGGATGACAGTAGGATGGATGTTCTGGAAGGATGAGATCAAATGGGCCAAAGGGCCTTCTTCATCCAAACCTGTCTTGTGATCTTGTTACACCCCCAATGGTGTTAATAAATTGGTTGTGACAACTCCCGACTGTGAGAAAAATGGGCTAAAATTATTTTGTAGTGCAAAATATATTTTAATGTCGCTGATAATCAGGTGAAGCAAATTACCTTTTTCCCCCCAAGAACTATGCTTTTTAAACGACATGCGTTTCGAAGACAAAAGGCTGGAAACTGAGCTCATCTGTTTGCCCTCTCCCTCCCCCACCCAACCCTCACCCCCAAAATAAAAATCACAACAGGCAGGGAGAACATGACGTAAATACATCAATCCAAATGCATAGGAAACAGCACTCAAAGGTCAGCACAGAATATATTTAAAGCAATGATTAATTTGTAACAGGAGCTCTGTGCGACACAATAATACCTAGAGCCATCTCCACACTTTGCAGTGAATTCCACATTAGGGTCTAAAATGCCATAACCACAACAAGTTGGGTTTATGTAGCGCCTTTCACGTTAGAGGACGTCCCAATGCACTGAACAGTGAAGGGTTTGTACCCGGGCTGGGGGTTGGAATCAAGAGGGGTGGAGGGTAAGGGGGGTTGGAGGTGGAAGGATAACCAAAGGCGCGGTCAAAGAAGAAGGTCTTTCTTAATTGACGACGACGATTTCTTCATTGAGGAATTGCAAGTGGGGTATTCTTACAGAAATACGTCACAGCAACCGCGGGAACTCTGCTTTGCTTCGGAGGGCTTGCCAACCAGTCGGCATGATTCAGGTGAGAAATTCCTGCTTGATTTGTCCGCATTCTGTACCCCACTGCGGATATTCTGGATCATTTTGCCCACAAAATACATAGTCAATTCATTTTACAGTAAAATCTGTGAAATGCTTTGAGATCTCTCAATGACCTGATAAAGTGCTATATCAAATACAAGGATTCCTATTGCGGTAAAAGTCACATAAGTCTGATCTGTATAAATCGTACAATCATCCAAGTACCGTTCAATAGTTTATATTCTATTCAAGTTTGATATAACTTAGACTTTGAGTAAATCATATTAAATGTAGGTCCCAACTGATACAGTTTATTGTATCATTAAATGCAGGTATCGTGAGGTGTAATTTAATCCTTACATTGTGCATTATCACATCTCCCAGACGTCTGAAAGCGCTTCACAGAATATACTGTAAAGTGAAGTGACTGTATACTTTGTGGGCGAAACGCAGCAGCCAGTTGTGCACAGCAGCGTCCCACAAACATTCGTGGATTGAAGTGACCAATTTATTATTGTACCTGAAATAATAAGTGGAATACAGCAGGACACATGACACAGACCTGCTGAAACCTCAGCACCATGATTCATGGTGCTACATGGCAGTTACAGTTGTCTTTGGAAACTCTTCACTGAGACTGATCTCATACTTGTTCTCATAAGCATTAGCGTGTTCCTTCGACCTGTGGCATCAAATAAAAAGACAGTGAGCGCCTTGGACTGTTCGTGACTGCTGTTTATGTAATTTTCTAAGTACAACACGGATCAGATTTTTCAACACTGTGGTAAAGTCTGAGTTGCAGTATTTCTTGACAGATTTCATCACAGGAAATGTGCAGCTGTTTCTAACAAGTCAAATGTGCTAATGAGTGCAATGAATGCTTCAGTAATTCGCTGATGCATTTGATCCGTTGAATCTGTTCTGTTAATTTTTCGGTCATGGTAAATCTTTTAATCCCACCTCCCTGCCTTTTCTCCATATCCCTTGCTTCTCAAGTGTCTATCTCCCTTTAAAATAGTCCATCAAATCTACATCCATTTCTTGAGAGGCGGTGCACTCCTATCTTAACCCTTTGTGTGAAATGTTTTCTCGTTTCACTTCTAACCACTTTAGCTCTATCTTTAAGATCACGTCCCCTTGTTTTGGAGCTAAATTCCCCACCCAGTTTCAATGTTGTTCCTTATCTTAAACATGTCAGCCAGATCACCCCTCAATCTTTATATTTATCCAAAGAGTCACTATAGATAGCTAAGTCCCTTCATTTCCATGTATTAATATAAAGAGCTGGTGTGGAAGTTCTTCAAAGCTGGTGCCTTGGGTATAAAGTTGGACATCCAAATCTGACCACGACTGTCTCCAAATGGGATCTGATCAGCATTCGACACACTTCAGAAGTACTTCCTTGCATTTATACTCAAGCTCCCTTGCTATAAAGTTTGATCCATTTGCTCCTGTTAATCCTGTGAACTAATGCAGTAATTGGTGGGGTGGTCCTAGCTGGATAACCAGCGGGAAGCTTGCCAGACAGTGCTCCCAATGGCACCGTTGTGGGTATTTTGCTGGTTAATCTCCAGCAGTTATCCCCGCAATGCACGCTCTGGTGTCCCACAATCTTTGGCTCTCACCAACCTGTGCTGCCTCCACTTCTATCAAAGAAACATTTCCAATGCAGGTGTGGAACTCTGAGCAATTTGATTTGGATGCTCTTATGGCAAAGTCTGAGTTGCGGTATTTCTTATGTCTAATTTGTGCTATGGCTTGACATTGGCAGGAAATTGATGAGTTTCTAACATGTCAAATGCACTAGCGAGTGCAATCAATGGTTTATAATGGGTCTGTGTGCGTGTGTGTGTGACTGTGTGTGTCGGATACCCGGCTGATCGAACAAACTTGTGGTAAAGACCAGCAGCCCATTAGTCTTTCTGATTGCTCACTGCACCTCTGAAGTACCTTAACTTCCTTTGCCTCTCTGTGTTGACTTTTCTTTGTTAAACACAAAAGTCCTGGCTCTGACGCTATGTGATGGGAATGCACCTTCTTAAGCAGAGCTGGCAACAGTCACAGCAACAGGGAAAACATTAACCACTGACTCACCTCACAGGATCTGTGGAAGACATGGTTTCGGTCAGTTTTGTTCCATTAATATTTGCATAATCGGCTTGACCTGTGGGTGGCTCCAGATCAATACTCTCACTGCGCAAAGGAAAACAAAAAACAAATGGTCAAATAAAGCTCAGTTTTAACAGCCCATCCCTAAACTGTTCAAGTGCACTTTTCTGTTTAATTTGCACAAAATAATGCTTTTTTTTTGGTCATGCAGAAACCCATAACCGTGCTTTAGAGTATCCAAACCAAACAGAGTTCCATGCAACTCACCAATGTATGGAAATTCCTGAGATATCACTCTCTCCCTGGTGAGGTACATCCTGCTTATCTAATTCCAGAGAGTATTAGGTGCAGGATGGCGAGAGCCAAAGCTTAGGGACCCCAGAGCATGCGTTGGGGTAACTGCTGGTGTCTAACCAGATAAAACTGCAGCTTGTCCAGCTAGAACCACCCTACCCGTTAGGGCTTTGGCTTCTGCCATTAATGGAAGCTGAATGGGAGAATTCCCTGCTCTCAGTGACTGGTCGGCCCTTCTGGGTCCTGCTGATGAGCCAGGCCGGGCTGTGCTGTCATCAGCAGTGGGTGCCCTGGAACACTGTGGACCCTCCCGGCTCAGGAACTGGACCAGAGGTTGGCTCGATTCCAACATTCCAATGCCAGGCAGGTCACCTTGGAGCCAGTTCAGCTCCGAGGAGATCCAGCTTATCTCCCCCACCTCCAAATCTCACCCCCCTCCCCACCCCCGAGGATAGCTCAATAGAATAAATACAAAATAAATTCAATAAAAACAAAACCCTCAAGCCATATTACAATGTTCCCATGTTAGTGTTATTTGGCTTCAGAGTTTTAAAGTTATGGAAACTTTAGACAGTGCTCGCAAACATGGGAAGTGTAGAATTAAGTAGCACTTAATGGCTATCTAACAAGTTAATGGTTATCTAACAAGTTAACGGCTGTCTAACAAGTTAACGGCTATCTAACAAGTTAATGGATATCTAACAAGTTCATAGTCCTGCACAGATTATGAATTTGAACTCAATTAATTGGGCATTTCTGGTATTTTCGATGTTTTGTGCTACGAATGCTGTTTTTTATGCTGTGGGTTAGCAATCTTCTGATTTACGGGATAAGGTTTAAGCAGGAGTAAATTCCCAAACCTATGGGTTGCCAGCACCTTAGGATCTCCTTGATGTGAAAGGCCCAATGCAAATGTAATTTGTTGTTGTTGTTGGCCTCACCAGTGTCTGCTTGTTCAGGAGGATGTCAAAGATCCCCCGACACCATTCAAAATGAGAGGGGAGTTTACCTCCCACTCCCCACCCTTCTCCCCTTGGTGTCTTGGCAAACAATCCCCCGCCCCAAATAAAAATGGGCCATTCACTTCATGTCTGTATGTGGAGGATGATGTTGTGTGCAAATTGGCTGCCACGTTTGCCCAAAAATGCACAGTCACTACACTTCATAGGAGATAAACTGTGAAGTGCTTTGAGACATCTCAATGTCCTAGTATCAAATGTTAGGATTATTATTATAATACTGACCAGATCATTATTATTATAACACTGATGTTTGCACTTTCACAGCAAAATAATCTGATTAACCATTAGTTGAATCACCTGTGGTGTAATATTCTATGATTCTATCCCGCACATTCTCTCTGAGGGAGTAGAGAGAATGTCATCCTAAAAATGATAGAAATCGTTACTCTCCTCTCCCAGCTCACCCCACCCCACGTACAGATGTTTGCAGACAAAATCATGGACAATTATATAGAAAGGATCAGGAACTTACTGGGAATTTTTGCACCACATTTTGTTGACTATAAATCCAATGAAACAGAGAAACAGGAAGACAACGACCGCTATGATCCCTGTCAGCCAGGGTTGTAGCACCCGTCTTGGCTGCTGTTTATTCTCACCTGCTGAAGAAAAATGCACTTAAACAACAACTTGCACTTACACAGTGCCCCTCGCGCAGGGTAGGGTCCCAGAGCGTTTGACAGTGGCGGAGCACGGCACCGGGCTGGGGTGGTAGGTGGGGGTGGGGGGTGAAGTGACCCGGTTTAAAGATGAAGGTCTTCAGGTGAGTCCTGAAGATGGGGAAGGAGATGGAAGGCAGAGGGATTGAGGGAGAGGGTGCAAGAGTTTCAGGGCATAGATGCTGAAAGGGCAGCCTCCTTTGGTGGAACGATGGGCATGTGGGACAAGCAGGAGGCAGAGCCAGCCAAGCCCTTATTTGAACATTTATTTCCAGATCAATGGCCTCTCTATCGCTTGTGTCATTGGTTTAGCTCCCGTCTGCTTTATGATTTAGTTGAAAGTTAAGGATCAACTAACTTCCCTGCCCTGAAATATTTACCCATTGGAGTGTCTTACAATGATTAGAGAACTCTCCTTCTCAAAGAATCACACCTACGTTTCTTTTACAAACACATTGCTTAAAATAGTTCCTTTCCAGTAAATTGCCGAAGAAGTGTGTCGTAATCTATGTTCTTTTTGTCTCCTGGCCAAAAGAAACTGAACGCAGCCCTACTTTTGGAAGCTTCCTGTTAAATATTATGGTTTAAAACCAGTTATATTGGGTGGGAATATTACATGGAATCTATAGCACTTAATCAAGCCATTTGACCCAACTAGTCCGGCCTGGCATTTAAATGTGTCTATCACAGTCTGGCTGACATTCCAGTACGCAAGGGTTCAGCCACCAGTGAATCAAACCCAGGTCCTCTCGCTTGTGAGACAAGCACACTAGCCTCCACATTTGTATACTACAAATGTAACTATTATTATTTGCATTAATATTATTATTTTTGTTAATATTATTATAAAATTTCAAAGATTTCTCAAAGCAGGATTTCACAGCAAAGTTTAATGACTCTGTATCTGTATCTTGTAGATGAGATGATAAAATGTGGTCTGTTTGCCTGTGGAGGTGGACCTTAAGATCCCATGTTGTCCGAGCCAACAATCTCCAGAATCTTGAAACCTAACCTGTTCAGCCAGACTCTGACTATAACGCTTCTATTGTTCTGCTGAAATTCTCAGGAATGTAATATTCAAAGACTGAGAATTAAATTACTTTATTGCACTTTTTAAATATTTGTGGCTTTGCCCACAAAACGCATACACAGTCACACCACTTTACAGTAAAATCCTGTGTAGCGCCTTGAGAGGCCTTGACGGAGTGATGATGATAAAAGTAATCCTTACATTTGATACAGCGCCTTATCACGTCATTGAGACACCTCAAAGCGTTTCACAGAATATACTGTAAAGTGTAGTGACTGTACATTTTGTGGGCGAAACACGGCAGCCAAATGCGCACAGCAGCGTCCCACGAACAGTCATGGGTTGAGTGACCAATTACTATTTATTCATTTTGAAGGGATTATTACTCCCGGAAAGTAATCTGTGAATTGACTAACAGCTGGGTTCCTACTTATTTGTGGAGTCCTGTAGCTCAGTGGTTAGAGCACTCGCTTTGCAAGTGAGAGACCTGAGTTCAATTCCAGGCAGAGGGCGAAACCTCGGGCAAGTTTCCACACACCTAATAATAATCCCTCCAAAACCCAAAACAATAATAAATTGGTCATTTTCAATCTACGACTGTTTGTGGGACATTGCTGTGCGCAATTGGCTGCCGCGTTCGCCCACAAATATACAGTCAATTCACTTTACAGTGTGTTCTGTGAAGCGCTTTGGGACATCCTCCCGACGTGAAAAGCGCTATATCAAATGCAAGGATTATTATTATTATTATTATTACTGCTAGGTAAACAGAGGCATGTGGAGTAAGGAAACTTGCCCAAGGTTTCGCCCTACCCGGGAGTTGAACCCGGGTCTTTTCGCTTGCGAGGCAAGTGCTCTAACCAATATGCTACAGGTCTCCACACGTAGAGTGGAATGAAGTGATAAGGTGCTAGATGCTACCATTATTATTATTAATTATTATTATAAAGTCTTGAAGCAGTTCATGAGATTTCATTGCAAAGTTTAATGACTCTGTATCTATTTTGTAAGCCATTTAAAAAAACACACACAAAGATCTTGAACTTTTAAACAGTTATTTGCATTTACAGAACTTTGTTGGGATCTGTGTTGGGCAGTAGTTAGTTAAAGCGTTCAGAATTTGGTTTAGTCTCTTTCAAAATGTAACTTCCTTGCAAGCACCGACCTAGGCTGGTGTTTGCACATTTCACGCAAACAAAATCCAGTCTGCGACGATCGCAATGGATGGGCTTTTCAGTCTGACTAATCCCCCCACCACCCCCCTACTCCCCACCGCTTCCCCACAACCCCCCCCCCCACCGCCAAATATCCCACAATAGAAAAATATAGGTTCCTTTGTAACTGGGAACAAACAGCAGTGAAAGCTTCCCCACCACCACTCACTTACCTTGTTGGCCATCGACCAGCGAAACAGACGTGATCAGCACAGCACAGAGCAGTAGAAACCGTTGCTGCACCATGACTGTGAGCCTGACTATGTGCAGTTTCCCTCAGCGCACCTCCCTGTGCCAACAGGCATCAAAGTCTGGGACATTTCTACAGCCCTGGGAGATCACGCCTTCTGCGGGTGAATTATTGGACAGGCACTAGTGCTCCAATTCTGCATGCGATCATCCCACAAAATACAGTCACTCCACTTTACAGTGTATCCCGTGAAGCGCTTTGAGACGCTATATGTGGTTCATATCAGGGACTAAAGTAAACTTTTTTTTTACGAGTGGAATACTTTTTTAAAAATATTTAAGTGGAATCATTTAAATAATAATAATCTTTACTTTGAGACGTCAAAAAGACGTGATAAGGCGCTATATCAAATGCAAAGATTTTTATTACTATTATTGCTCTCTATGTGTGTGAGAGTGCGTGTGTGTGTGTGAATGTTGGGGGCAGAAAGGCAGGAAAGGAGAGAGAGAGAGAGAGAGAGAGCGGAGGTGAGGTGTGGAGTCCTTAGTATAGTGGTTAGAGCACTTGCCTCGCAAGCGAGAGGACCTGGGTTTGATTCCTGACAAAACCTTAGGCAACCTTGCTCCACACAACTCTGTTTACCTGGCAGTGATTAGGAACCTGGTTGTTAGTTGATCACTTTACAGCAGCACTGCTGTGCGCAATTGGCTTCCTCATTTCGCCCACAAAATATAGTCAATTAATTTTCTGTGAAGCGCTTTGAGACATCTCAATAACGTGATAAGGCACTCTATCAAATGCAAGGATTATTATGATAATGTTTTGACTCAGAGGCGAGAGTGCTACCAACTGAGCCAGGCTGACACACAACTAGTTACAAAACGCTGGAGACAGTCTTCATCCCATTATTGCTGGATGTGAAGCTTTGATTTGCGGGTTTGATTTATGACAGGTGTTCACGTACCTGGTTTACATTAGTCCCTGATATCGCCCACATACAGTGAAGGTTGTGCTCTGTGGAATGGAATAAGCGTTTAATTTTTAAACCTTTACAGGACCGGTTTCTGGAGTGAAGGATTAATTCCAACTAGCAGGATCCAATCTAAATCATTCATTAACATGCCTAGGCCAATATTTAAGGGACTTACCATGGTGAAAGGTTATCCCAAAAATAAGGTTAGAAAATATTAGTAATATCTTTAAATAATAACAATTCCTTGCATTTATTTTGCTCCACTCACATTGGGAGGATGTCTTCACATGATATAAGGTGTAGTAACTGTGTGTTTTGCAGGCAAATAGGACAGCCGACATGCACACAGGAATGTCATCACATTGTCAGAGATGCCGTCCAGCGTCCTGGCTGACAAACCATCAGATAAAATTGATCATTCACTTCATGGCTGTTTCTGTTTGCTCAATACAATGTGGTTGCCCTCAAGAATAAATCTAACAGGCGATGGGATGTAAACAGTCACCTGTATCAACAGAAGCTCTGAGTTCTTGGCTGAGCCTGAGACTAAGGGAGCAAAACCAAGATACAAACCTCAAGCAGCGACTACACAACTATAATGGACTTTGCCTTTTCTGTTGTAAGAGCACTCGCCTCGTAACCGAGAAGATCTGGGTTCGATTTCCGGGCAGGGCGAAACGTTGGGCAACTTTCCTTACTCCACACGTCACTTTTGTTTACCTAGCAGTAAGTAGGTACCCTGTTGTTAGTCGATTAGCAGATCGCTTTTCTGGGGGTAATAATCCCTTCCAAAAAATAAAAATATATAATAATAAATTTGGTCACTCAGTCGACCACTGTTTGTGGGATGCCTCCTTGCATAATTGGCTGCTGCGTTTCGCCCACAAAATACACAGTCAATTCACTTTACAGTGTAATCTGTGAAGTGCTTTGAGATGTCTGAATGACGTGATAAGGCGCTGTATCAAATGCAAGAATTATTATTATAAATAAAAGATGTTTGGGGTCTGTGACCTCCTCACAGTATTGCCTGTGTGTTCAGCTTCTCAGTGCAGAACAAATCGACAGACCTCAATGTTACTGTATCTGGTTTTAGTTGGGATATGTGTTCCTGTAACTGGCCAGAGGGTGTCAGTGTGCTATCTTTGCCCAAACAAATACTGTATGTGGAAAAACACAGAGCAGAAGCGAGGAATGTGGAAAATAAGTAAAATCTGCATTTTTTAGACCAATTTAATCAAGCAATCACACAGGATCAGGTGTAAATACACATGGTACAATATAGTCTTAACACCTGCCCGGCAACTCAAATGCAATCAGGTTCATTTCAAAACAGGTCCTTACTGGGAATGGATTATGTTTGAGGACACAGCCTACGAGTGGGGTAAATTCAACAAATCCGCGGAAACACTACTTCAGTAAGCGAGTGGTAGATGTATGGAACAGGCTCCTGAGGGAGACGGTGGAAGCAAAAAAACACTTTGAGACGTTTGAAAGACATAATAAGGCGCTATATAAAATGCAAGGATTATTATTATTGTTAAAAGCAAATCAGAGAGATTTATTTTAGGAAATAATATCGTGGGATACTATATATATATATATATTTGTATAGTTTGTGACCCAACATATACAAGCAACTGCCAGGACGGTGGAGGGCGAACTGGATGGACCAGTCTTTCGTCCAGCAAATCCTTATGCTCTTACGATTAAAGGCCATTTAAAAACTTGTTGCCATTTTTTGCAATTTCAAGGTAAAGTATAATCCCATAACAACTTTGAAACTTCCTCGTTATGTAGTTTGTGGATCGTTGTGGTCAACAGTGACATTACAGGTCAGTGCGGGAACTGCAGCACAGATCGGTCTCTTCATCTGAAAAAAAATCTCCACCACTGCAGTTTCTGCCTGATTTGGGATGTTGCTCTACAGCAGCAAACTGCTGAGAAACTCTCCGCTCTGTAATGTGTGCAGGAGAACTTTCTGGATCAGTACGTTTCCAGCCCAAAGAGGAAGGAAGCAGTGCTGGATCTAGTTCTGGGGAATGAAGTGGGGCAAGTGGGGCAGGTTTCAGCAGGAGCATCTGGATAACAGTGATCAGAATATCATTAGGTTTAGAATAATTATGGAAAAGGATAACAATCAATCAAAGGTAAAGACCCTCAACTGGAAGCGGGCTAACTTCAGTGAGCTAAAAAGGGACCTGGCTAACATAGATTGGAAAGAAAGATTGGCAGGTAAGACAGCAAGCGAACAATGGCAAGCCTTCCAGGGGGAGATAGTTCGGGGACAGAGCAAATACATTCCCACAAAGGGGAAAGGTAGGACAGTCAAACCTCCCTGGATGACTAAGGAAATTAGGATTAAAATAAAACAGAAAAAGGAGGTTTATTACAAATGTCAGGTCCAAAATACACAGGATAATCAAATAGAATATAGGAAGTACAGAGGAGAAATGAAAAGGGAAATAAGAGGGGCAAAGAGATTGTATGAGAACAGATTAATAGGAAACATAAAAGGGAACCCTAGGGTATTTTATAAAGAGTTAAAGGTTAGACAAAGGTAGGGTGGGTCCAATTAGGGACCCAAGTGGAAATCTTCTTGTGGAGGCAGAGGGCATTGGCTGATGTACTAAATAAGAACTTTGCAACTGTCGTCACGAAAGAAGATGATGCAACCAATGCCACAATATCGTAGGAGTGTGAACAGAAACTGGATATGATAAAAATCAACAGTACTAAAAAGGCTGTCGGTGCTCAACATAGATAAGTCACCTGGTCCGGACGGGACGCATCCCAGGTTACTGAGGGAAGCAAGGGTGGAAATAGCAGAGGCTCTGGCCACAATCTTTCAATCATCTTTGGACACTGGACTGGAAGATTGCAAATGTTACTCCCCTGTACAAAGAGGGGCAGAAGGATAAACCTGAGAACTACAGCCAATCAGCCTAACATCAGTAGCAGGGAAACTTCTGGAGACTATAATCCAGGACAATATAAATTTTCACTTAGAAAAATATAGTTTAATAAAAGACCGTCAACACGGATTTGTTAAAGGCAGATCGTGTCTGACAACCCTAATAGAATTTTTTGATGAAGTGACTGAGAGGGTGGATGAAGGTAGTGCAGTAGACGTAGCTTATCTAGATTTTCAAAAGGCATTTGACAAAGTGCCACATAAGAGACTTATAAACAAAATAGAAGCCCACGGTGTTAAAGGGACTGTGGCAACATGGATCCAGAACTGGCGAGGAGACAGAAAGCAGAGAGTAGTAGTAAACGGTTGCTTTTCTGACCGGAGGGAGGTGTGTAGTGGTGTCCTTCAGGGGTCGGTTTTGGGAACCCTGCTCTTTCTGATCTATATTAATGATCTGGACCTGGACATAGGGAGCACAATTTCCTTCTTTGCAGACAATACTAAGCCAGGAAAAGTAGTTAATGGTGAGGAGGACAGCACCAGCCTCCAAGAGGACTTAGACAGATTGGTAACATGGGCAGAAACGTGGCAGATGAAGTTTAATGTGGAGAAAGGCAAAGTGTTGCATTTTGGTAGGAAGAATGAGGAGAAGCAATATAAGCTGATGGTACAATCTTAAAGGGGGCAAATGAACAGAGAGACCTGGGGGTTCATATAGTAAATCTCTGAAGGTGGCCGGACAGGTAGATAAAGCTGTTAAAAAAGCAAACGGGATACTAGGTTTTATGTTGGATATTTATAAATTGCTGGTTAGGCCTCAGTTGGAGACTGCGATCAGTTCTGGGCACTGCACTTTAGGAAAGATGTTAGGGCATTGGAGAGGGCACAAAGGAGGTTTACCAGGATGGTACCAAGAATGAAGTACCTTAGTTATGAGGAGAGATTAGCGAAACTAGGATTATTCTCCCTCGAGCAGAGAAGATTAAGGGGGGATTTAATAGAGATTTTCAAGCTCATGAGAGGATTTGATAGGTTGAATCGGGAAAAAGTATTTCCACTGGCATTTGGGTCAGTAACCCGAGAACACCGATTTAAGATAGTTGTTAAACAGAGGGGAGGTTAGGAAAAAAAAATTCACCCAGCGAGGTGTTGGGATCTGGAATGCATTACCTGAAAGGGTGGTGGAAACCGATTCAACAACAACTTTTAAGAGAGAAGTGGATGGGTATTTGGGGAGGACAGGATTGCAGGGCTATGGAGAGAAAGCCGGTCGGTGGGATTGAGTGGGATTGTTCTTTAAGGAGCCGGT